GTAATTCTACTGAAGGCAATGGAGTTACACTGCTGTAAGATCAGCCTAAGAAATAGCAGAATTAGGCCTTCAAAGCTGTTACCATATTCCATGCGAACTGATCTAGTCGTCTCAGCCCAGCACCCATTGGACAGTTGTCCACATCACAGAGCCATCACAACTGGCACCTTTGTTACTCTCACCAGCGGCAGAAAGGTTGGTCCAGTGGTTACAGCATTAACCTATGACTTGGGAGATATGGGCTCAATTCTCTGTTCTTCCACAGTTTAGATCACAGGCAAAAGTCTAAGTCATTTAGCCGCTTAGAGTCTCAGTTCCCCATAGGGATAATGGCACTACCCTACCTCATAAGCAGGTGGATAAGTATATTAAAGATTGTGAGGTACAGATACTATGGTTATGGAAGCCATGTAAGTATGAGTTATAAATTTTATGAAGGACTAAATGGGCTATGGAAACTAAACAAGTATTAAAGGCCCTTTTCAGGTTAAGGTTTAAGCATGTTGGTGGGGCAGCTCTCGGTTTATCTTCAGGTTAGTACAGTAGAAGACCTCAATCTGGCATCTACTGACTCCTTCATAGAGCAGTGGGTGCTGTGTGGGGTTTTCTGCTTAGTGTCCCCATCTGGTGCCCTGGTTTTAACCCGCACTCCCATTCCTGGTTTTTTTCTTCCATTTGCTGTCCCAAGAAATTAGTTGTGTCTGGTTCTGTGGTCCCTCCCTCAGGTGATGGGGCAGGCCTTTAATTTTAGATGGGCTCTGCCCACCTTTCCAGAACATCAATAGCAAGCACTCTTTACCAGCAGTCATTTCACCCCATCTGCTCTGAAAAATGATTATAGTTCTTTAAGAAAATGATCCAGAAAAAAAAAGAGGGGGAAGCTAGACCCTTCAGAAATGTTAAATGTTCCATGACGCAGAGAAATTCTTCATGGATTTGAGACATTTAGTGTGTTTGAGGGAGTTGAGAGTCTTACCGGTTAGAAAAGAATAAAAACAGCAGCCTTAGCTTGAGCTATCATTCCTAAAAGAGTTGTCTTGAAGGACATTGCTGGTGTCCATCCTGGAAATGGAGCTAGACCCAAACTGGAATCTGTCATTTGAACCCTATTGAACATTGGAGGTGTCGATCAAATGGAATCCACGTTCCAAACACCATGGATTTGGGATTTCCAAAGTCAAAAATCCAGCTGCTGAGACTTTATAAGATAAATAACAAAGCATGGCCTCTTCTGCCTATCTCTGCTCAAAGATCAGAGATACAATAGACCAGGTAAACACCATACATAGAACTAGTAGTGGCTGAAAGCATTCCCAGGTTTATAAGAAAGGTAACAGGGTTACACTGACCTGGTTTGGTCCTGCAGCAACCCCGCCTCAGTTCCCCCTCAGGTTCCTTGAAAACACCACTAGAGGCTCTCTTATGACCAATAATACCATTGCCTGGAGCTGGTTTGTTATCATAACTAGTTCAAAGTAATCCACAAAGTCCCAAAATGAACTTCAACACAACATGGGAGTTCATACTCAGCTCTGGCATCTTCAGTAGATGCTGGGGCTCCTCTTCAGTCCCAATCTGTTCTTGTTGAGCAATATATGTTGGCTAGCATATATAGACCATATTAATAATGTGCATTATCTGCACCATAGATTTACATTGAGTACCAATGAGAACCCTTGAGTACAAATCTTGTAAGTGATATAGCCTAAACTGGCCTATACCATAATCCTGTTCACTTATGCCAAGTGTTCCATAACTCCTTGCATTTGCTGAAGTAAGCATTTGGCATAAGCAGATAGGAAACTTGCAAAAAAAAATAATCAAGATTCATGGACATAGTTTGGGGGACACAGGAGGGGCACTGCCCCCCCAAAAGTGCAAGTAGGTACAGAATTTGCAAGGAAGTACCTTCATGGAGCAGCACCTGGAATGTTAGTATCCAAGACAAAGATAAGGAGGAAAAGAACAAGTTAGGGAACTGGAACAAACTGATAGGCTAGATTTTAGTGACATGTAAAGAAATGTGTCACTTGTAAAATAATATAAATAATACCAGCTGAAATGCATAACTTGGGGAACACACCTTCTAGATAAGATGAATGCAACATCCCTGTACAGGACTGCTCTTCAGAGACTGGCATCATGTAGAACTTTTTTCTCTTGTACCATATTAATACACCTGACTGACATTGGTTATTTGGTCTCTTGAGTATATTACATAGTCAAACAACAAACCAACATGTGATCATACAATTGACTATACAATTTATCAACACTCTCCTTCAAGCAGCATCTCCAGCCCATGCTAGCTACTCTTCAATCAGTCCCTCTCAGGCCTTCCTGCCAGTACCTAGAATCCTTTCTTCCCCCAGAAGAGGATCCAAAACTCTCCTTGGGCCATTTCCTGTCTGTCAGAGAAGCTATCAGTAAACCCACTTTGCTACTTTTTACCAAGCAACAACTCCCACTCCTTCTATATTGGCAGGCTTCCCCAGGCCTGTCTTATCTACAACCAGAAGCCTGATTGGGTCACATGACCTTAATTTTTCTCACCTGGGGAGGAGGGATTTTTTTTTTTTTTGAAACAGAAAAGAAGTTTATTGGTAACACTTACAAAATTACCAAAGGAAACAGAACAACTATGCAACAAAACAACGCTAACAGAAGGTATAACACAGCAGCTTTCAGGAGGGAGAAGTGTTCAGGCTAGCCTAGGCCCAGAGCGGGGGGCTTCCTTGACACTCGTGGTCTTCCACCCTCCTGAGTTACCTGGTGGCCTAGAGCGGGGGGGCTTCCTCGACACTCGTGGTCTTCCACCCCCTCGAGTTACCTAGTGCCGCGCCCAGTGTCACCGATCCTCCCTCTCCTGAGAGTGCCCGGTAAGATGGGCACGGCTGTGGGGTGGGCGGTTTAGGGGTGGGGGGGTGGACACCCATGTATTATAGGACTCCTCCTAGATGACAGGAATGATGGTATCCACAGCGGCAAAGGCTGGGGCTGGCGTCTCTCGCTCTTCCCCTCAATCAAAGGGTCAGACGGAGGGAACCGGACGGGGTCACCGAGCAGAGAACCCCGGACAGCGCCCACCGCTCCTCGAAAGCGTCAAGGGAGTCGGTGGACACCGCCCTGGGGAGGAGGGATTGGCTGTGTCACAGGTGAGGCTGAAACTCATATCCCCTTAAAGAGCCAGCCGCCTTGTGACAATAAAGAATGCTCCCCCAGCTTTGCACTGAGACAGCAGTTTGACAAACCTTCCTCTGATCTACCTGGCTGACTGAAGGCCATAAACCCAACTCCTAAATAGACTGTGAACAATGGTGGGAAAGGAGGTGACCTTCAGCGCAGAATTGTGTGCAGCACCTGGCGCAATGGGGCCCCAGAGCTGATTGGCAGGCAGGGTGTTGCTGTAATGATATCACCTGGCCTGCACATATCAGAACAGGGGGTCTCTTGCCAGGCACCAAAAAAATTGCTCTGCCCCCTCTAAGGCAAGTCCCCCTTAGATTCTGGGGAGAGCTGCACTGGCAGGAGGCCCAGCTGCTGAGAGTCAGATCTGTTGATGTAGCAGGAGTGAGATCTCTGGGCCTGGTTTTGCTCTCCTGCCCATTCTCTAGGCTTCACGCCCTCTGCTCTGCAGAGCCGAGCTGAACTCGCCATTCCTGGTCCTCTGGTTCCTGGAGGTGTCACAGGACGAACTTAATAAAGCCAGGGGTTTCAGGCTATGAGATCACCTTCCAGTTCTGTGCTTAAGTGCATGGAGCCTGGTGTGTGTCTGTTCACACAATAGGTTACCCCTTGGACCTTTTGTTTGGGGCTGTTTCCCTTCATCTCCTCCCATGAGATGTGTGCTCCTGGCCCTGCTGCCTGGGGATGCTTGTTTCTGTTCCTAGGAGGGGTTAAAGAGGGCTCCCCTGCTCTTGTCTCCTAGCCTGCCCTACCTCTCCCTGCTGCTATGGGTATTATGAAATCCCTCTTGTGAATGTTTACAGCTTGGCCTCTGTAGGCAGCTGCTAGCTGCGTATGTACCAGCAAAGCTAACCAGGACAGCTTCAACTTAACTGACAGAGAAGCTCTTATGACATTGGGAAATCATGCCTGAGGTCCAGGCAGCCAGAGAAGGCTGGAATTCCCCTTCTAAATTCCTGCATATGCATGCATATTCTTTCTGGGAAGTGCACTGAGATCTGCAAGAATTCCCTCTGGAAAAATAGTTCTAACACTGACATCAAGCATCTGGGAACAAATAAAATAGCTAAACAGCCCCATAAGGGAGATGAGTAAAATAAACCACGAAATACCACGTATTTCAACGCTGTATTTTTCACTCCATGCATCAGATGAAGTGGGTTTTAGCCCTCGAAAGCTTATGCTCAAATAGATGTGCTAGTCTCTAAGGTGCCACAAGGACTCCTCGTTGTCTTTGCTGATACAGACTAACACGGAAATCTGTGCATCTGGTAGGTGCCCGCAAGGTGGAGCTAGAGTTCAGGAAAAGCTGCTGACCATGAATGGACTAGTGTTAGGATTGGGGCTGGTTGGTAGCCCCAGGCTAGGGTCTGGGGTGGATGATGGCCCCAACCTAAGGTTAGGCTTAGGGCCAGTAGGTGATATCAGGCTAGGGATGGAACCTATTAGTGGCCACAAGTTAGGTTTATGTGTGGGGCTGGTGGGTAGCCCTGGACTACAGTTCAGGCTGGATGGTGGCCCCAGGTTAGGGCTAAGGTTGGGGCCAGCTGGTAGCCCCAGGCTATGGCTGGAGACCAATGGTTATCCTAGGCTAGGGTTAATGTTGAGAGTAGACCCCCCAGTTCATACCAGCTCCTGCGAATTTGGAAGGGGAGAGAAGGGGGCATGAAGGAGAGAGAGAGTAGCTTTTCAAGCATTAAGGAAAGTAAAAAAGAAAGAGAAACCAGCAGGGAATTCAATCCAAATCCAAAAGCTGCCAAGAGTGGGCAGGGCTGGGTTTCAGGACTCCTTGGTAGTGGTGAGTAGCTGCAGAGGGACGTTGTGAGCTAGGATTTAGTATCGAGGGGTTGGAGGACTCTGCACAGCGTGTGCACAAGGAAAAGGGACAGGAGACTATAGTTGGGACCAAGTGTGTAACAAGAGGGTGAAGTGTAGCCAGTGGCTGAGGCCACTGCGAGTGTAGCCATGTGCATGCAGTGGTACTAGGGAATATCCAGGGGCTGGATCCTGCAGTGAAGTAAGTGCGTGTGTGTGTAGCCAGGGGCTGGATCGCGCAGCAGGGAGTGTGTGTGTGTGTGTGTAGCCAGGGGCTGAATCATGCAGCGGGCAGTGCATGTGTGTGTGTAGCCAGGGGCTGGATCATGCAGTGAAGTGTTGTGTGTTGGTGTGTGTAGCTGGATCATGCAGCGGGAAGTGTGTGTATAGCTAGGGGCTGGATCCTGCAGTGAAGCGGGTGTGTGTGTGTGTAGCTGGATCGTACAGCGAGGAGTGTGTGTGTATAGCCTGTGGCTGGATCGTGCAGCGGGGAGTGTATGTGTGTGTATAGCCAGGGGCTGGATCCTAAAGTGAAGTGTGTGCCTGGGCGGAGAGGGGGGGGCGTGTAGCTGGATCGTGCAGCGGGGAGTGTGTGTGTAGCCAGGGACTGGCTCCTGCGGTAAAGTGGTGTGTGTGTGTTTGTGTAGCTGGATCGTGCAGCAGGGAGTGTGTGTGTGTAGCCAGGAGCTGGACCCTGCAGTAAAGTGTGTGTGTGTGTTTGTGTAGCTGGATCGCGCAGCGGGGAGTGTGTGTGTGTAGCCAGGAGCTGGACCCTGCAGTAAAGTGGTGTGTGTGTGTGTGTGTGTAGCTGGATCGTGCAGCGGGGAGTGTGTGTGTGTAGCCAGGGACTGGCTCCTGCGGTAAAGTGGGATGTGTGTGTGTGTGTGTAGCTGGATCACGCAGCGGGGAGTGTGTGTGTGTAGCCAGGGGTTGGACCCTGCAGTAAAGTGTGTGTGTGTGTGTTTGTGTAGCTGGATCGCGCAGCGGGGAGTGTGTGTGTGTAGCCAGGGACTGGCTCCTGTGGTAAAGTGTGTGTGTGTTTGTGTAGCTGGATCGCGCAGCGGGGAGTGTGTGTGTGTAGCCAGGAGCTGGACCCTGCAGTAAAGTGTGTGTGTGTGTGTGTGTGTGTGTAGCTGGATCGTGCAGCAGGGAGTGTGTGTGTGTAGCCAGGGGTTGGACCCTGCAGTAAAGTGTGTGTATGTGTGTGTTTGTGTAGCTGGATCACGCAGCGGGGAGTGTGTGTGTGTAGCCAGGGGTTGGACCCTGCAGTAAAGTGTGCGTATGTGTGTGTGTGTTTGTGTAGCTGGATCACGCAGCGGGGAGTGTGTGTGTGTAGCCAGGGGTTGGACCCTGCAGTAAAGTGTGTGTGTCTGTTTGTGTAGCTGGATCGCGCAGCGGGGAGTGTGTGTGTGTAGCCAGGGGTTGGACCCTGCAGTAAAGTGTGTGTGTGTGTGTTGTGTAGCTGGATCGCGCAGCGGGGAGTGTGTGTGTGTAGCCAGGGGTTGGACCCTGCAGTAAAGTGTGTGTGTGTGTTTGTGTAGCTGGATCACGCAGCGGGGAGTGTGTGTGTGTAGCCAGGAGCTGGACCCTGCAGTAAAGTGTGTGTGTGTGTGTTTGTGTAGCTGGATCGCGCAGCGGGGAGTGTGTGTGTGTAGCCAGGGGTTGGACCCTGCAGTAAAGTGTGTGTATGTGTGTGTGTGTTTGTGTAGCTGGATCACGCAGCGGGGAGTGTGTGTGTGTAGCCAGGAGCTGGACCCTGCAGTAAAGAGTGTGTGTGTGTGTGTTTGTGTAGCTGGATCACGCAGCGGGGAGTGTGTGTGTGTAGCCAGGGGTTGGACCCTGCAGTAAAGTGTGTGTGTGTGTGTTTGTGTAGCTGGATCACGCAGCGGGGAGTGTGTGTGTGTAGCCAGGGGTTGGACCCTGCAGTAAAGTGGTGTGTGTGTGTGTGTGTCTGTGTAGCTGGATCGCGCAGCGGGGAGTGTGTGTGTGTAGCCAGGGGTTGGACCCTGCAGTAAAGTGTGTGTGTGTGTTTGTGTAGCTGGATCGCGCAGCGGGGAGTGTGTGTGTGTAGCCAGGGGTTGGACCCTGCAGTAAAGTGTGTGTGTGTGTGTGTTTGTGTAGCTGGATCGCGCAGCGGGGAGTGTGTGTGTGTAGCCAGGGGTTGGACCCTGCAGTAAAGTGTGTGTGTGTGTGTTTGTGTAGCTGGATCACGCAGCGGGGAGTGTGTGTGTGAGCCAGGGGTTGGACCCTGCAGTAAAGTGTGTGTATGTGTGTGTTTGTGTAGCTGGATCACGCAGCGGGGAGTGTGTGTGTGTAGCCAGGAGCTGGACCCTGCAGTAAAGTGTGTGTGTGTGTGTGTTTGTGTAGCTGGATCGCGCAGCGGGGAGTGTGTGTGTGTAGCCAGGGGTTGGACCCTGCAGTAAAGTGTGTGTATGTGTGTGTTTGTGTAGCTGGATCACGCAGCGGGGAGTGTGTGTGTGTAGCCAGGAGCTGGACCCTGCAGTAAAGTGTGTGTGTGTGTGTGTGTGTTTGTGTAGCTGGATCGCGCAGCGGGGAGTGTGTGTGTGTAGCCAGGGGTTGGACCCTGCAGTAAAGTGTGTGTATGTGTGTGTGTGTTTGTGTAGCTGGATCACGCAGCGGGGAGTGTGTGTGTGTAGCCAGGAGCTGGACCCTGCAGTAAAGTGTGTGTGTGTGTGTGTTTGTGTAGCTGGATCGCGCAGCGGGGAGTGTGTGGCACACACACACAGGCTCAGAAGCTGCCCTAGGAGGAGGGACCCAGCGCTGGATCCCCGGGACAATGCCCGATCTCCTCAGCCTGCTGCCGGCCGCGCTGTGCCTTTTCCTGGCCGGGTGGCTGCTGCGGCTCCAGCGCTGTCCCGCGGCCGGGCCGGGCGGCAGCTGCCGCCGCTACTCGGTGCCCGGGCGCGGCTTCCACCTGAAGAAATGGGCCCTGTGGGGGATTCTCTTCTTCGCCTTCCGCCGGCGCCGGAGAGAGCGCGGCGGCGCCGCCCGGCGGGAGCCGATGGGCTCAGGAGCCGGCCAGGGGGCGCTGGAGCGGCTGCAGGGACTGGTCTGCCATGCCCATGTGAGTGCGACCCCTATATCCCCGCCTGCGAGGGGGTCCCCAGGGGGCTGGAGCTCGGCACCTCCCCGGGGATCGGGGGAGATGCGCAGGACTGGGACCAGCGCCTCCTCCCGGCAGATTTGTGGCGATCTTAAGGGCAGATTCTTAGCTGGTGTGAGGCCCCATAGCTGCATTTATACACCTGGGATCCCCACTAGTCTCTGGCCCGGTTCGGGCAAAGACGTTAACCATCCAGCTTTGGGTGTAGCCATTTTAGGCAAAACCATGTTGGTCATTACCTGAGTCCTGCTCCTCTGCTTCCCTCTGATTGTGTCACCCTCTTGTCTGCCCTGGGGTTGCAAGTTCCCCCTGGCAGGGATGCTTCTGTGTGTCTCTGCAGTGGGCAGCTGATCTCAGCTGGGGCTCCCCTGACGCTTCTGTAATACAGATAATAAATGTTATGAAACCACTGTTGCAGGAACTCGAACCTGAATAACATTGCAGGGCCAAGAAGCTAGAGGTGAGAAAGTGCAGGCAAGCAGGCAAGGCGGAAGATGCAAAATAGCTAAAGATATAGGGCCACATCTTCATCTGGTGTAAATGGGCATCGCTTCATTGAAGTCAAGATGATTTACACCAGCTGAGGATTTGGCCACTGTCATTTTTTGGAGAAACTTCTACCAATTTGCGACATTTTCTAAAGGTTTTGAGGAATCCAGAGTTTCCTCTCTTTTCTCAAGCTGATTGTCATCACATTGGCATTGTGTGTGGTTTTGATGGGCAGGCATGGTGTCCCTAGCCTCTGTTTGCCAGAAGCTGGGAATGGACGATGGGATGGATCACTTGATCCACCTGTTTTGTTCATTCCCTCTGGGGCACCTGGCATTGGCCACTGTTGGAAGACAGCATACTGAGCTAGATGGACCTCTGGTCTGACCCAGTATGGCAGTTCTTATGTTTTGTTTTATTTTATTTTTTAAATAAAAGGCTATTTTTAAAGCTGGTGTTTGAGGCCCTGGGACACAAAGCAAGTCATGAAAATTGTAATAAGTGATATTGGATATGCGTCTTAAAGTAGGGCTGGAAGAACCCTTTGTGTTTTTTCCCATTCCAGTTCTGTGAAAGCCCTTTCTGTGGCAAGGACAGAGATCGCCTTCCAAAACTGTAGTCACTCTATGACCGGACAACACTCCTACACCAGAGTGGTCCGAAAAATGGTTCAAACTGTAAGCTTCACCTGTCACCCAGCTTTGCCCTTTTCCTCTCGGACTGAGAGCAATGGAACACCTCTTCTAGAATGCTTCCAGAAAATCCCAACAATGGTCCCGAAACTCTCTCTGCAAATATCTATTTTGACAGTGCAATGCACTCTGCTTTGCTCAATATAGGACCCAATTATCAAACTTGGCTACCTCAAGTCAGGCACATACATACATGCATATTTAGGTGCTTAGATGGGCATTTAGTCACCTGAAGTAAGTATTTTTGGGCATTAGTCTGAGTACATTTTTCAGAGGCAGGAGTTTATCTACACCCAAAATGCACACAGAAGTCAGGTTATGCATGTGCAAACCTGATTTTTGAAACTGCATCTGGTGAGGGGTTGCACAATTTGTGCATTTATACAGCTGAATTTGAAAATTTGGGTCTAAGCACATAATAGAAGCATTAACATTGATCATTTGGACCCTTAACTAGCTGATTGGATTTTACTGAAATTAAATTCTAGCTTCCCTGTAAAACTGAATATTTTGCATACAGTTTTGAGCTACTGTCTCAACTTGACTCTGGGATAACAAGTAAAGCACCTGGGTTTGGAACCACTTCACACTGGGGTTACTAGCAGTGCTATTTGCCAGCTGGGCCGATGTAAAGTCAGTCTGGGTTGTGAGTCCAAATGCCTGGAGACATCAGGCATGCTAAAACACAGGAAGCACAAGAAGGCTTATGACGAGGCCTCCTTCGTGCTACAATAACACATACAATAAATAACCATTTGGACTTGAAATGTGTCAAAAATCATCAAAACAAAAAGTTTTGATGTTTCTAAAACAAAATTTCCCCAGCATTTTGGGCTGGATAAAAATTCTGAAAACTTGTCTTTTTTTGGTCTCAGTTTGGAACAAAGCAAAATGCCAAAATGTCAATTTTTTTGGCGAGTCATAAATTCCATCTTCTGGCCAGCTCCAGGTGACCACTCCCCACTCACCAGGCTACATCAGAGGAAAGGCACAAATGCCAAGTTGCTAAGAAAAGGAGTACTTGTGGCACCTTAGAGACTAACACATTTATTAGTCCTCCTTTTCTTTTTACGGATACAGACTAACACGGCTGCTACTCTGAAAAGTTGCTAAGAGGGAGGCTTGGTGTCCCAGATTGTGATATGGAAGTGATCAATGTTAAAAGGAATGCAAATGTGGTTGCCGATGCTCTGTGCAGGAAATATGTCAATGGTCAAGCACCCTAGTTACACCCATTTCTTTTAGGGGGAGATCTGACAGTATTCATTGCAAAACTAGCAATCTGGTTGATTTAGGACAATATCAGGCTTGTTCCAACAGACCACAATGCCAGGGTTTTCAGTCATGTTTTCCTTCTCCTACAGTTTCCTCTCATTGTTTCTCAACTCCCAAGTCAGCAAAAAGGAAAAAAAAATAATTATCAAGGTCTAAAGAGCAAATAAATGGAACCATTGCACAATCAGTTGTTAAAGTAATTGCTGTGGAATGCAGAGATTATTTTTTGTCCATTTCTTAAAGAGACGTGTGGCCATACAAATATTAAAAGAGGAAGAAGTATTGACAGCTGATTAAAAATAGTGGACTGGGAGTGCACCCACTGACCAAGTATGACCTTTTGAAAATCTATTAACCTCTTGGCAGCCCTGTATAAATAGAAATGAGAATACTTACCTATTTGCCTGAAGTATTGAGAGGCTTAATATAATACATTGCTATTTTTAAAACACTTTGAGATGCTTGGTTGGAAGGGACTTGGGGGCGGGGATTGCAGGTGTTGACTAAAAGCAGTTTCTGGATCAAGTCCACTAGTGTCATTCTACAAAGGACTCACATTAGGAAAAAAGAATATCCTACATTCTTTGAGTAGAGGGGAAACTTAGCTGGGCTGATGATTTTTGACATGCATAATCACTCTTCCCCACATACCTCGCTTCCCGTTTTTTCTCGTTCTTTCTCTCAATGCTAAAGCATTTTTTCCCATTACCTTTCTGTAGGCCCTGGATTCAGTTTACTTCACTGGGTTTACAGAAACCGACAAGACTTTTGTGATCACTCGTCTTGGAAGACGTCCAAATGGGCTCTGTGAAATGTGGCTCTTCCTCCGAGTGGATGGAATTGGAGAGTTTGAAGTAAGTGGAGGGTGAGAGCAAAGTAAGAGGCTGGAGTTTTGGGGTAACATTCAAGGGTGATGTTCATTACCCATCTGGAATTTAATACTGAGGTATGACCCCAAGATTATTATTCTATTACCAGTGGTAATGCCTAATGACCAACCCAGAATGGGGTTCCATTGTACCAGGCACTGGACAAATGGAGAGTTGACAGTCCTTGCCCCCAAAAGTTGGCAATTTAAATAGACAAGACAGACAGGGTGAGAGGTGGGGTGTAACGTACAAGCACAGTGAATAATGTGATGGTCGATGTAGTGGCCACTATGGATCCCTGAGAGACTGCTCAAAGAATGGACAAAAAGTAACTGAAGCAGAGGGGCTAAAGTTTTCTGCCTCTTCATAAACATCAACATCCGGAATTCTGTGCAAGACAGCAATGCTATGACTAAGGTCAATTACAGGTACCGTGTCTGTCCCTTTCTTCCCCCTCACCCTGTTCCAGTCTCTTTCCCCATCCTCTTTTTTCTCCATCATCCTTCAGCAGCAAAGGGGGTCTTACTAGCTCAGTTATGCCTCTACTCCACAGTAGCTTTTTTTCCAGTGGCTCTGGGAATAGCAGCGTGAAGCAAAATACAATCATGATCCTCAGCTGTAGGGCACTACACAGGAGGACAAGGAAAATGCACTCTTTCCATGTTCCTGCATTGAATGTAGCTGTTGCCATGCCCCTGAAGTAGTGTGTGATTGTGGATTAGTGAGAGAGGTTTGAACTAATGTCTTTGGTGGAGTTGACCTTTTTACAGTTCACAAATTTCCCACAAACTGCTTGTGAATTTTAAAATTGTGCTTGTAAGATTCCTAGGAACATATTTGTGCAATGAGCTGCATGCTCCTATTTAATCTGAGAGGTTGCTGACCTAAGTCACATGGTAAGGTTACCGTTCTGTCATTGGGCAATTTACATTTTATAAACAAGTGCTTGAAATACGTGAGGTGTTGAATATTTCAGCTAAAGGACAAGGAACATTTTAGGGAGACACATGTAGGGCTACTTATTTCTTGCTAAAAACCATTAAATCTATTCCTAGGTGTGTGTTTGGGTTGGTTTTTGGTTTTGTAAATGACTGGATTCTTTCCTGACTGTGGAATAGAGAAAAATATAACAGATTTTTTGACTGTCTAGTAGACTACATATTTTAGTTTCTTTTGAGTATTTCTGGAACAAATGCCTTTATGCATTCCACATAAAGAATTATATGCACATGAATAAAAGTTCTTCTCTAAACATTAATGGGACTAAAAAGCAACAGTCCAAATGTTTGCAGAAAACCAAACAAGTTAGGAGCTAAATACACTTACTATTTTCATTATAGTAACACTGAGAACCACCAAGAGCTAGAAGAGCTTACAGTCTAAATAGATGAGATGGACACAGGGTTAGAGCAAGGAAGTATTATCATCCCCATTTTGCAAACTTGGAACTGAGGCAGAGGGAGATTAAGTAGTTGAATTGAATTGAATCACAAGTGAGATTTAGCAAACAAGCCAATACATTTTCCCACTGTTTGCCGAGCTGCAGTTAGGGAGATGTATGTATAACCTGGACTCACTGCTCTGAGTTTAGCAGTTGCTAGGCCGTTAGGTTTCATTATCTGTTACCTGGCTAGTATTACCTGCAGTAAATACCTGGTGATTTGAACAGGATGGTATTTCAGACTCCGTTATGGGAGATGAAACTGAAGTCTTAAAACAGTGATTGAAAACTGCTGAGTGTTAGAATGAGTAGGTGCAATTGACTCCTGGCTGGGACCATGTGTGTGCAATTGACAGAAACCCCAGTCTTTTGTAAAGCCAAAATATTGCATATAAAGCTATTTTTACGTGAGAGAGTGACAAGGGGAGGGACTCACAACAGATACAAATCCCATTGACACCAAGAGGTGTTACTTATGTGCGGTAACTGCAGAATAAGGTCCCTGGGTTGGTAAGGATTCTCCTTGATGTGTTCTGCAGGAGTAACTTCAAATAATAACAATTTCTTTACCAGCTGCATGGTCCTCTACAGCTCCTGCCATCTGCAACATTCCCCTTCCTTTACCACTGCCGCAACATCACCTCTTTCCAAATTTCATGATAAAGCTATTTTTTCTCCCTTTCCCATGCTATTTAATTTTTCTGTACCCCTCTATTATCAACTCCCATGAGTGCATGCCTTAGAGTGGATTCACCATCTATTGCTTTTTTACAGCACTACTCCCTCTAACTTATATGATATATGCTGTCATATATTTAACCCTGTAAAACCTTTCATAATGCAGTTTACCTTTAAAAAGTTCTGCAGAATAACTGCATAGGGTGAAATCATCTCTCCATTGACATCAATAGGAGGTTTTTGTAACATTCTTTGAGATCTAGTGGTGAAAAGCACTATACAAAAGCTAGGAATTATTATTTCACCATTGACTTCAATGGGGCCAGGATTTCCTCCATTAAGTTTACAACTGTGAGCAGTCCCATTGAAGTCTACATAGGGAAATTGACTGTCAGAATGATAGGAATAATGATGGATGGATGAGGGAATAAAAGTGGTTTTATCCTGGTATAATCACGCCGGTCAATTTTCCCATGTAGACAAACCCTAAGAGCAATGTGGTAGTAATGGTTACTGTTGACAGTGTTTGCATCATGAGGTCCTAGAATAGTAATTTACGATTTCATTCCATTTACCACTTGTGCTGTCTGCAGTAATTACTTGATATTCATCAACTCAGGTGTTTTGCATGCAGTTTTCTCCTCTGTGAAATATGTGGAATCAAAAAGCTATCGCTGTCAATGTTCCTCCCACAACAGATGAATAAATTATGACCCTCACCTCTGCTTTATCCCCACATTTTAATTCAATGAATGTTTTATTGAATTGTCTCTTAGCACCCAGTACATCCGGACATGATGGTGCGCGATGAATCTGAAAAATGCTGGCGTGGCGAAGGGCTGATGATTGAGTGCTTAGAGCCACACAGACGCTGGAAAATAACATTCAATGGACGACTCAGGTATTATCATGTCACCTCTGGGGGGAGATGATTGCTAAGATACTGGATTCTGACTCAGGAAAACTGGGTCCGTTCTCAGATCTGCCAGGGACTTTGCTGTGTCACCTTGGAAAAGTCATTTAATCTCTTTCTGCTTCAGTTCCCATCTGTTAAATGGAGATGATGATAATGCATCTCTTTTACCACCTTTTGTCTGTATTATCTATTTAGGTAAGTTACTTATGTGGTCAGAGAGTGCCCTTCACAATAGGACCTGGCTCTGTTCAGTTAGCCCTGGTCTACACTAGGACTTTAGGTCGAATTTAGCAGCGTTAAATCGATGTAAACCTGCACCCGTCCACACAATGAAGCCCTTTATTTCGACTTAAAGGGCTCTTAAAATCGATTTCCTTACTCCACCCCTGACAAGTGGATTAGCGCTTAGATCGACGTTGCTGGCTCGAATTTGGGGTACTGTGGACACAATTCGATGGTATTGGCCTCCGGGAGCTATCCCAGAGTGCTCCATTATGACCGCTCTGGACAGCACTCTCAACTCAGATGCACTGTCCAGGTAGACAGGAAAAGAACCGCGAACTTTTGAATCTCATTTCCTGTTTGGCCAGCGTGGAAAGCTGCAGGTGACCATGCAGAGCTCATCAGCACAGGTGACCATGATGGAGTCCCAGAATCGCAAAAGAGCTCCAGCATGGACCGAACGGGAGGTACGGGATCTGATCGCTGTTTGGGGAGAGGAATCCGTGCTATCAGAACTCCGTTCCAGTTTTCGAAATGCCAAAACCTTTGTCAAAATCTCCCAGGGCATGAAGGACAGAGGCCATAACAGGGACCCGAAGCAGTGCCGCGTGAAACTGAAGGAGCTGAGGCAAGCCTACCAGAAAACCAGAGAGGCGAACAGCCGCTCTGGGTCAGAGCCCCAAACATGCCGCTTCTATGATGAGCTGCATGCCATTTTAGGGGGTTCAGCCACCACTACCCCAGCCGTGTTGTTTGACTCCTTCAATGGAGATGGAGGCAATACGGAAGCAGGTTTTGGGGATGAAGAAGATGATGATGAGGAGGAGGTTGTAGATAGCTCACAGCAAGCAAGCGGAGAAACCGGTTTTCCCGACAGCCAGGAACTGTTTCTCACCCTAGACCTGGAGCCAGTACCCCCCGAACCCACCCAAGGCTGCCTCCTGGACCCAGCAGGCGGAGAAGGGACCTCTGGTGAGTGTACCTTTTAAAATACTATACATGGTTTAAAAGCAAGCATGTGAAAGGATTACTTTGCCCTGGCATTTGCGGTTCTCCTAGATGTAGTCCTAAAGCCTTTGCAAAAGGTTTCTGGGGAGGGCAGCCTTATTGTGTCCTTCATGGTAGGACACTTTACCACTCCAGGCCAGTAACACGTACTCGGGAATCATTGTAGAACAAAGCATTGCAGTGTATATTTGCTGGCATTCAAACAACATCCGTTCTTTATCTCTCTGTGTTATCCTCAGGAGAGTGAGATATAATTCATAGATTCATAGATTCATAGATTCATAGATATTTAGGCCAGAAGGGACCATTATGATCATCTAGTCTGACCTCCTGCACAATGCAGGCCACAGAATTTCACCCACCACTCCTAAAAAGACCTCACATCTAGATCTGTGCTATTGAAGTCCTCAAATTGTAGTTTGAAGACCTCAAGGAGCAGAGAATCCTCCACAAGTGACCCGTGCCCCATGCTACAGAGGAAGGCGAAAAACCTCCAGGGCCTTCCAATCTGCCCTGGAGGAAAATTCCTTCCCGACCCCAAATATGGCGATCAGCTAAACCCTGAGCATATGGGCAAGATTCATCAGCCAGATACTACAGAAAATTCTTTCCCGGGTAACTTGGATCTTACCCCATCTAAAAACCCATCACAGGCCATTGGGCCTATTTACCATGAATATTTAATTACCAAAACCATGTTATCCCATCATACCATCTCCTCCATAAACTTATCGAGTTTAATCTTAAAGCAAGATAGATCTTTTGCCCCCACTACTTCCCTCGGAAGGCTATTCCAAAACTTCACTCCTCTGATGGTTAGAAACCTTCGTCTAATTTCTAATCTAAATTTCCTAGTGGCCAGTTTATATCCATTTGTTCTTGTGTCCACATTGGTACTGAGTTTAAATAATTCCTCTCCCTCTCTGGTATTTATCCCTCTGATATATTTATAGAGAGCAATCATATCTCCCCTCAACCTTCTTTTAGTTAGGCTAAACAAGCCAAGCTCCCTGAGTCTCCTTTCATAAGACAAGTTTTCCATTCCTCGATCATCCCAGTAGCCCTTCTCTGTACCTGTTCCAGTTTGAATTCATCCTTCTTAAACATGGGAGACCAGAACTGCACACAGTATTCCAGGTGAGGCTCACCGTGCCTTATATAATGGTACTAAAACCTCCTTATCCCTACTGGAAATACCTCTCCTGATGCATCCCAAGATGACATTAGCTTTTTTCACAGCCATATCACATTGGCAGCTCATAGTCATCCTATGATCAACCAATACTCCAAGGTCCTTTTCCTCCTCCGTTACTTCTAGTTGATGCGCCCTAGCTTATAACTAAAATTCTTGTTATTAATCCCTAAATGCAGACCTTACACTTCTCACTATATTCATGGTCACCTGGTTGAAATAAAGTGCTTTTCTTCAGGGGACACTCAGAGGAGCCCATTCCTGCTGGGCTGTTTGCCTGTGGCTAAACAGAAATGTTCCCCGCTGTTAGCCACAGGGAGGGGGGAAGGTTGAGGGGGTAGTCACGCGGTGGGAGGAGGCAAAATGCGACCTTGTAACAAAAGCACATGTGCTATGTATGTAATGTTAACAGTAAGGTTTACCCTGAAAGAGTGTAGCCACTGTTTTATAAAATGTGTCTTTTTAAATACCGCTGTCCCTTTTTTTTTTCTCCACCAGCTGCATGTGTTTCAATGATCACAGGATCTTCTCCTTCCCAGAGGCTAGTGAAGCTTAGAAAGAAAAAAAAACGCACTCGCGATGAAATGTTCTCCGAGCGAATGCTGTCCTCCCACACTGACAGAGCACAGACGAATGCGTGGAGGCAAATAATGTCAGAGTGCAGGAAAGCACAAAATGACCGGGAGGAGAGGTGGCGGGCTGAAGAGAGTAAGTGGCGGGCTGAAGACAGGGCTGAAGCTCAAATGTGGCGGCAGCGTGATGAGAGGAGGCAGGATTCAATGCTGAGGCTGCTGCAGGACCAAACCAGTATGCTCCAGTGTATGGTTGAGCTGCAGCAAAGGCAGCTGGAGCACAGACTGCCACTGCAGCCCCTCTGTAACCAACCGCCCTCCTCCCCAAGTTCCATAGCCTCCACACCCAGACGCCCAAGAACGCGGTAGGGGGGCCTCCGGCCAACCAGCCACTCCACCACAGAGGATTGCCCCAAAAAAAGAAGGCTGTCATTCAATAAATTTTAAAGTTGTAAACTTTTAAAGTGCTGTGCTTAAAGTGCTGTGTGGCATTTTCCTTCCCTCCTCCACCACCCCTCCTGGGCTACCTTGGTAGTCATCCCCCTATTTGTGTGATGAATGAATAAAGAATGCATGAATGTGAAGCAACAATGACTTTATTGCCTCTGCAAGCGGTGATTGAAGGGAGGAGGGGCGGGTGGTTAGCTTACAGGGAAGTGAACCAAGGGGCGGGGGGTTTCATCAAGGAGAAACAAACAGAACTTTCACACGGTAGCCTGGCCAGTCATGAAACTAGTTTTCAAAGCTTCTCTGATGCGTACCGCGCCCTCCTGTGCTCTTCTAACCGCCCTGGTGTCTGGCTGCGCGTAACCAGCAGCCAGGCGATTTGCCTCAACCTCCCACCCCGCCATAAACGTCTCCCCCTTACTCTCACAGATATTGTGGAGCACACAGCAAGCAGTAATAACAGTGGGAATATTGGTTTCGCTGAGGTCTAAACGAGTCAGTAAACTGCGCCAGCACGCTTTTAAATGTCCAAATGCACATTCGACCACCATTCTGCACTTGCTCAGCCTGTAGTTGAACAGCTCCTGACTACTGTCCAGGCTGCCTGTGTACGGCTTCATGAGCCATGGCATTAAGGGGTAGGCTGGGTCCCCAAGGATACATATAGGCATTTCAACATCCCCAACAGTTATTTTCTGGTCTGGGAATAAAGTCCCTTCCTGCAGCTTTTGAAACAGACCAGAGTTCCTGAAGATGCGAGCATCATGCACCTTTCCCGGCCATCCCACGTTGATGTTGGTGAAACGTCCCTTGTGATCCACCAGAGCTTGCAGCACTATCGAAAAGTACCCCTTGCGGTTTATGTACTCGGCGGCTTGGTGCTCCGGTGCCAAGATAGGGATATGGGTTCCGTCTATAGCCCCACCACAGTTAGGGAATCCCATTGCAGCAAAGCCATCCACTATGACCTGCACATTTCCCAGGGTCACTACCCTTGATATCAGCAGATCTTTGATTGCGTGGGCTACTTGCATCACAGCAGCCCCCACAGTAGATTTGCCCACTCCAAATTGATTCCCAACTGACCGGTAGCTGTCTGGCGTTGCAAGCTTCCACAGGGCTATCGCCACTCGCTTCTCAACTGTGAGGGCTGCTCTCATCTTGGTATTCATGCGCCTCAGGGCAGGGGAAAGCAAGTCACAAAGTTCCATGAAAGTGCCCTTACGCATGCGAAAGTTTCGCAGCCACTGGGAATCGTCCCAGACCTGCAACACTATGCGGTCCCACCAGTCTGTGCTTGTTTCCCGAGCCCACAATCGGCGTTCCACAGCATGAACCTGCCCCATTAGCACCATGATGCATGCATTGGCAGGGCCCATGCTTTCACAGAAATCTGTGTCCATGTCCTGATCACTCACTTGACCGCGCTGACGTCGCCTCCTCGCCCAGTATCGCTTTGCCAGGTTCTGGTGCTGCATATACTGCTGGATAATGTGTGTGGTGTTTAATGTGCTCCTAATTGCCAAAGTGAGCTGAGCGGCCTCCATGCTTGCCTTGGTATGGCGTCCGCACAGAAAAAAGGCGCGGAACGATTGTCTGCCGTTGCTCTGACGGAGGGAGGGGCGACTGACGACACGGCTTACAGGGTTGGCTTCAGGGAGCTAAAATCAACAAAGGGGGTGTCTTTACATCAAGGAGTATTTCAGGCAGGACTTCACGGAGGGTTCCAAAAAGAAATGGTGCACCTAAGTTATCGTTCTGATTGGAACAAGGAGGTTAGCCTGGCCTCTGATTGATATGTGGCTAGATTTACCTCGCTGCACCTTCTCTGTGAGTGACTGCAGTGTGACCTAGAGGAATGAGTCCCCTAGACAGGGGGAGGAGGCAAATGAGTACAAAACAAATCTGGTCTATTTCTTGTTTTGACCCACTCCATCTATCTTTTACATCTTTGGCTGGCAGCAGACGGTGCAGAAGGACTGCATGCCATCCACATCTCATGGCTGCTCAGCAGAAGATGGTACAGTACGACTGCTAGCCATCCTCATCTCTTGCCTGCCTGGCAGAAGATGGTACAATACGACTACTAGCAATCCTCATCTCTTGCCTGCCTGGCAGAAGATGGTACAGTACGACTGCTAGCAGTCCGTATCGCCTGCCCGCTCACCATAAGACGGTTCAATAGGACTGACTACAGGACTAAAGAGAATGACCTGGTCAAGTCACTCCAAATTTAGTCCCTGCGCCCATGTCTGCCCAGGCGCTCCCAGCCGACGTGGCCAGGAGCACCTCGGACGCGACGAGGACGACTACCAGTCGTATTGCACCGTCTGCTGCAAGAAGGCAATGGGTTGCTGCTACTGTGCAGCAAAGCCGTACCGCGTCTGCCAGCACCCAGGAGACATAGGGTGACGGTTACCTGAGCGGGCTCCATGCTTGCCGTGGTATGGCGTCTGCACAGGTAACTCAGGAAAAAAAGGCGCGAAATGATTGTCTGCCCTTGCTTTCACGGAGGGAGGGAGGGAACGGGGGCCTGACGATACGTACCCAGAACCACCCGCGACAATGTTTTAGCCCCATCAGAGTGCTCCATTGTGACTGCTCTGGACAGCACTCTCAGATGCCCGATTGTTTGCCGTTGCTCTGACGCCGGGAGGGGCGACTGAGGACACGGCTTACAGGGTTGGCTTCAGGGAGCTAAAATCAACAAAGGGGGTGTCTTTACATCTAGGAGTATTTCAGGCAGGACTTCACGGAGGGTTCCAATAAGAAATGGTGCACCTAAGTTATCGTTCTTATTGGAACAAGAAGGTTAGCCTGGCCTCTGATTGATACATGGCTAGATTTACCTCGCTGCACCTTCTCTGTGAGTGACTGCAGTGTGACCTAGAGGAATGAGTCCCCTAGACAGGGGAGGGGGGAAGCAAATGAGTACAAAACAAATCTGGTCTATTTCTTGTTTTGATCCACTCCATCTATCTTTTACATCTTTGGCTGGCAGCAGACGGTGCAGAAGGACTGCATGCCATCCACATCTCATGGCTGCTCGGCAGAAGATGGTACAGTACGACTGCTAGCAGTCCGTATCGCCTGCCCGCTCACCGTAAGACGGTTCAATAGGACTGACTGCAGGACTAAAGAGAATGACCTGGTCAAGTCACTCCAAATTTAGTCCCTGCGCCCATGTCTACCCAGGCGCTCCCAGCCGACGTGGCCAGGAGCACCTCGGACATGACGATGACGGCTACCAGTCGTACTGTACCGTCTGCTGCCACAAGGCAAGGGGTTGCTGCTACTGTGTAGCAATGCCATACCGCGTCTGCCAGCACCCAGGAGACATAGGGTGACGGTTACCTGAGCGGGCTCCATGCTTGCCGTGGTATGGCGTCTGCACAGGTAACTCAGGAAAAAAGGCGCGAAACGATTGTCTGCCCTTGCTTTCACGGAGGGAGGGAGGGAACGGGGACCTGACGATATGTACCCAGAACCACCCGCGACAATGTTTTAGCCCCATCAGGCATTGGGATCTCAACCCAGAATTCCAATGGGCAGCGGAGACTGCGGGAACTGTGGGATAGCTACCCACAGTGCAACGCTCCGGAAGTCGACTCTAGCCTCGGTACTGTGGAAGCGCTCCGCCGAGTTAATGCACTTAATGCACTTAGAGCATTTTCTGTGGGGACACACACACTCGAATATATAAAACCGATTTCTAAAAAACCGACTTCTATAAATTCGACCTTATTCCGTAGTGTAGACATACCCCTAGAATGGTTACATGGGATAAATCGTGCAACTACAAAAGAGATTTCAGGACAAGTTGTGTACAGGCACTTACAATAGCCTTTTCCCTGAGCCTCAGCTAAACTCTGCGGAAGCACAGGCTAGAGTGCTGTCTGGTCAGGATAATTTAGAAAGCATAGCACAGAGTTCGAAACAGTGAATTCCATTTCTGATTATCACCTTCAAGTCCTATTCAAAGACAGCACCATACCACCCAGTAGCTTACTGTACAAATGTTTACATTTAATACAAACAGCTCAAGCATTTTACCCAGTACTTGAAAATATATTTAAATAATTTTCTATTAGGTAATAAGCCTAGCAGTGTATTCTTCTGATATCAACTTTAACAAACTCTGCTGTTGATATCATGCAAGTAGAGTTTGTAACATCTGCATCACAATGAAGGGTTTCAGCCTAACATTTACATTTTACTTTAGCACACATGCACTCATTCTTTCCCCTCTGATCTTCTTCAGAGACAACTTCTGGTGTGATCTAAAAAGTATAGTGTCAATGATAAAAATTTCAGGCAACAGGAAGAACTGAAGTGTCTCTTATCTTGTCCATATCCAAACACTTCTGCCTAGCCAGGAAACAGGAAAAAATGTGGTCTGGGGGAGATCCTTCTGCTAGCGTACTCAGTCCTTTGGTGACAGATGACTTGCTCTCTTGAGATTGTGTTTCAGATGGGAAATCTGTACCTAAAATATGACAGGTTTTGAGGCTATCGTTGAAATGTTCAAAAGCGTGTAAGTGACTTAGGAGCCTAACTCTCATTTTTGACAGAGATTTAGGCTCATGGAGCCAGATTTTCACCGGTGTTTAGGTGCCTCAAGATGGAGATAGGCCCCAACTGGAATTCACAAAAGCACTTGAGCATGTTAGTTGCCTATTTGCATCTTTAGGCCCCCAAATAGCTGTGAGGATCTGGGCCTAGGTGTCTGACTTTCATGGACTACATGCGTAAGTCACTTTTGAAAATGGAGCTAAGGCTCCTAAGTCACTTGGGGGTTCTTGAAAATTTTACTCCAAGCCACAACACCAGACACATATCTTGGCTTTGCATTATCATTTAGCCAAGTCCCCGGAGAACATCTTGTAGCAATTATATAGAATAATTCTCCATCCTCCACAAGATCGGATTGGCTCAACTCTCACAATGAGGATATGACTTGCAGAAGTGCCAGCCTATAAAAGTTGGCTACCTATGTTGGCTTCACAAAAGCTGTCAAGCATGCTTAGTACCTATAACACTTCTCTTTAGATTTTTCTGGTTTGCCTGCCCTGCCCAGATACAGAAACAGGTGATTTTAACAAAGCCCTTCCTCCCTCTCCATTGCTACTTTCCCATTCGTTGGACTTAAACTAATTAAATGTTGCTATATAAAAGCATATGGGTTACACAACAGCTCAGTAAATGAAAAGGGAGAAGTGGAGGAGGTCAGACTAGATGATCATAATGGACCCTTCTGACCTAAATATCTATGAATCTATGAAAAAAAATGTAAGGAATGTTGGTAAATGATGCTGCTGATATAGAAACAAGGCAAGATAACAACACATTTCATCTTCCAGAAAGGGACCATATCGGCATCAGTGGAATGAAGAGGAGGGCGAACTTGTCCACGTTAAATTCTCTTTCCAGTAAGAGCATGGCAGTTTGATGGATCCATTTATTTTGTCAGAGTATAAATAAGAAGTTGTGGGCCAGATCTTGACCCGTTATAATTCTGCTTAAGTTGGGCTTGGACCTTGTTTTGTCCTTCAACTCAGGGTGAATTTCTTCCTGTACATATAAAAAAATTTCCAGTTAAATTACTAAAATCATTTATTGAGGATTGGCCTGATAAATACAAATCTATTACCTAATCATTGCCCGAGTGTTCTGTTAAGTGATTTGTCATTTTATTAACTCACTACAGCAAAAACTTTACTTATATTTTGGAAATTTTAATTTAAAGGAAAGCTGCTATATGCTTAATTGTCAAAGTTAGGCCTTCTTTAAAAAGTTTTATAGTCCCATAGGGCATCTAGGTGCCACTATTTATATATTTTCTGTATTTGTTCAGAAGAGGTGGGTAAAAAAAAAAAGAGTAATGAACAACCATAGTTTATAGTAAGGCTGCTGTGGCTATAACCATCTAGTTAGGAAAGAGAATACAAGCTAACTAAAATGGAGCCACAGTCTGCTTTTGCCTATCTATGGACTTGGAATTTTGCATGCATATCCAAGGACGGGATTTGACGCATAGCGTCAATGATAGAAATATATACACAAGGCATTAAACTGAGCAGCTCCGTGATGGATTGTGTAAGAAACAGATCCAATGTCTGCATCATAGCAAGGGTCAAAACTGGAGGGGAAAGGAATGTTTTAGTCTAGAGTTAGAAGCACATTTTTATAGGTCCCTTAAACCCCCCCACAACTTTCCATCTCCCTTAAGCAATCTGTAAACTGGGAAGAATCAAGCTTATTAAAGATGATCTTGAGTAATATTCAGAATATTTTTTAGTTTATTAAGATTATATTTTCAGAACTATTTTTTTCTAAGGGCTGTAGTCTCCAGAGTACTTTGATTATACACACAGAGCCAACTCTTCATGTAACGGCCTGCAGCTTTGATATGCTGTTGTCACTTCCCAGCAGCATAGAAACTATAGGCAGATATAACTGTGTCTTCACTGTGGACTTTTGCCAGCACATACATGTCAGTCAGGGATAGCATGTCTTCATACCCCAGACCGTCATGGTTTTTTTGTAGTGTAGAGTTGGCCTGTGTTTGATTTGTGGTTCCCTATTCCTCCTGATCTATAGGGAGTGGCTACTCACTTTCCATCCAAATTAATAGTCTGCTGACAAAAGTACATGGCATTTGTGCTACAACATGGGGCGTGTAAGTTACAATAGACCACGAGAGAAAACGAGGCAGCAGTATCGCAGATTAGAATCTTTTGCTATCCCCACTGCCAAGCCAACTTGATGAGTAATTAGCTGACATGTCCTGCGCTGCTACACAATAATTGCACCTTTGCATCATGGTTTCTCCACTGTTCCCTTGTTCATTTTCCTAGAGAACAGAAATATCTAGAAATATTGTAAAAATCAGAAGATTCCAAGCATGAGAAATACGAAGGCACAAATCCTGCCGATAAACTGAAGCTTTGTCTGAGTCATGATTGCAGGGTTTGACTCAATACAAACTGAAAACTGATGAGATTTTCCTTTCTCTTCTTTTGTAGCTGGACTTCCTTTTCAGATATATTTGACTTTAACCTTGACAGCCACCCTAAAGTGTTTGCACATGCCATTGCTTTGGAAAAGTGGAGTGCAGAATTCTTCCGAAGAGTCAAAAAGTGAGAGACAGTTTTAACTCTTCTGGGGTTGATGGTAACTTTTGCTTTCCTAGCCCAGCTAATATTACCAGCTAGTTTTGCTGCAGACCAATTCATAATAAAACTGATCAGATACAGTCAACTTCTGTGTAAGTTTCTGCCTTTGTTCTGAAGGTTGTGTGTATTTTTTATTATTTTATAAGAAAATAATTTCTTTTAAATCTGTATATTAAAGAACTTTGCTCCTCACAGCTACCTCCTGGCCTAGATGAATACATAAGGTACATTTTTATTGTAATATGCGGTCGTCACCCGTAAGGAGTCAGCATTTGCCAACAGTTGCTACGCACATAATTTAGAGCCCGATCCTGGTATGCATTCTGTGCAGGTACCGGTACTCACATGGGATCCCATTGACTTTAGTGGGGCTTCATGTGAGTGCAGGGATCTGCCCTTTGTAAGAACAGGGCCTTAGATGGCAAGTTCATTGGGGCAAGGACCATTTCATCCTTGGTGTTTTTTTACAACATCTAGCACAGTGGGATTCTGATCCTGATTTGACCCTTTTTCTCCACTGCCTGGCACTTGGTGTAGGCAACTGTGTGTCTGTGAAATGAGTAAAAAATGCTACCGTCTCTTCCCACTTTGTGCAGGTGTAAATTACTACACAATTACACTGAGGCAATGTCTAGGGCGTGTGATTCGCCTGCTCGTGGGCGCAAACACTCGCCCTAGCTCCCCAGAGTATAGATAGCAATGTAGCCGTGGGAACAGCAGTGGAGGCTTGGCTGAGCCCGGCCAAGTACAGACTTGCCTGCAACGGGTGCTCAGCTCAGCCGTGCCGCTGCGGTCCGTGCTACTGTCCATTTATACTCAGGCGCGTACATGAGCAGGGGAATCACAACCCTCGCTCGCACCGTAGACACAGCTGATAAGGCAGAGAAGAACAGGCCTAAGAACATTGTCTCCCTGGTTCTAAAGACAGGGAAAAACAGTGAGATCATTGTTGACGGATGCTGACTTTTAAGTGACAACTACTGGACTGTCGCTTTTGTAGGGAAAAAAGAGGGCACTTATTTTAGGAGGGGAAGAACTTCTTCTCACCTCAGGGTGTCTTTTCGTGTGACCTATTTATAGGCTGAACGGTTCTTAGCAATATTCTTAAAACTCAAAAATATGTCTGACAACTTGCAGCTGGGATCCAGATGTTCTGAAATCTGTGTGTCTTTCATAACAGAATCAACCCTTTTCTGACTGGGGTTCGGGGAGTGTGTTTGAATAAGAAGCTTTGTTTCTTAGCTGCAGGATCTTTACCACCCTCCTCCTCCCCTTTTTTTTTTCCAGAGATGGGGAACAACATTCTCGTTATGAACAATGGGGCCAGTCTATAGGAGAAATTGAAATTGAAGGTCATGAGAAGAAAGAGGTTTCTATGAGAGGTGTTCGGAGCCACTCTTATGGTAACAATATCCTGAACGATTCAATTATGTGGCAGCCTAGAGGTTATCGCTTTGGCTATTAAGTATTGCAGCATGACCCCTCTTAAGTGTGACTTGTAAAATGACCTGTTTCATGATTAGATCTAAAATTGTTTAACAAAAAACGTTTTGCAGCTGAATTTATGATATGCAATGATCAGAATCTTCCCACTGCAAGCTCATTCATGATTTCTCACTTTAAATACCAAACAAAGCTCGTGCTGGAAGAACACTCTGTCTTGTGACCTCCCAGCTGCATTCCTTTAGCAAAGGGTGTGCCTAAAACTTCATCCCTCTCCATGGCCCATATGACTGAGAGACAATCTGAGAGGCTGAAGACTCCTTCTTTGTCCAACCCCACAGTCGGAGCCAGCTGACAGCTCTGAAATGGTGCTAATGTCTGGCTAAGGGGCCCACTAGGGTCGAAGATTCCTTCCAGCCTTGCATGTAAGCAGTGTGTGCTCATGGGATGGAGGGGCCATGAGTGGGGTACATAAGGCCCTACAACCTCCCCACACACAGGTGTTGTTTGTGGAGAACTCACTCTGAGCCTCCCTGATTCACAGGCCTCCCTACCTCCCTCCACTTCAGCAAGGGCGTCTGCTTCCTCTAGGCAGCATTAGCCTCTGTGGTTCCTGCACAATGGGGAAAGGGGTTTAGGATCCATGGAAACCCTTACCATAGCTGCAGGCCTGTCCCCAGCATTGGTTAGGTCAGTACAGAGTAAGGGGGCTACACTGGCCTATTGATACTAACACAGTTAAGTATTTGACTTAGTTCTAAAGAGCTTTCCTAGTTACAGCAAAGAAGAGTCTATCCTGTGGGGGTCATGCCACTACCTAGGGGTCTATCCTCTGAGCTGCACTGGGCAGGCAGATACCTACAGCCATATAGCCCTGCTTGCTAGCTTGGGGCCGTGAACAAGTTAAAGGGGAATGTTTGGCCACTAGTTATTATTGTAGCTAATTAACATTAGTCAGGTCTAAAATTAAATCCTTAATAGGAACAGTTTCATTGATATTTCTCCCTATAGGCATTTTTATAACCTTAGTACGTGATTGCCTGGTAGAGCATTTCTCTGGCTCAAGATAAGGAAGCCAGATACCTTTATATAAATGCTTGTACTTAAAGTGCTCAAGAAAGGTAAACTTTCAAGCACATATTCTCAATTTTTTCCCCCAGGCATCCGAAACTGGGCTGAGATTTACCGATATGTCATGATTTTGATGCATTGTGAGGTAGGTCTTATCATGCCTTTCAGCGCTCTAGAGATCAAATGCAAACTTCACTCGACTTGTAGGATATGTCTGAACATCCAGAAGCAATATCCTAGGAGGAAGTCAAATACCATAACAGCCACATCTTTAGACCCTGCCTTTTAGCAAGTTGTCTCGTTGCCAAACCTATCATTAACACTCACTGAACTAGTTCTCAGTAGCACATGCTTCCTGGACTCTGACCTCGTTAAGCATTTCTGAGATATTTGTTTATACAATGAACACACAAGAAGATTAATGGTAAATGATCAACTTGAGATAGTGACATTGTGCAATTTGCTAGGTGCAGGGGTGGGCAGTTGCCATCCTCTGAGACATCAGATAATGGTTCAGATCCTCTGGTCTGTCTGAGTTGTGCTTGGCACAGAACGCCTTCCACCCCCCATCCCTCCCTCCCACTTCAAGCCATTTTTAAGTTCCTTCCATTTGGTCTGACCAGTCCCATGCCTTGGTACAAATTTGAGCACTGCTCTAATTTATGCTTGGCTGTCACAACCCCAAGGGACTGCTCCTGCAGCTGGGGATTGCCAGGTATAGGGATGCCCCAGCCACACACCCTTTCCTCTGGGATTGCCAACTCCTCCTCCTTTCCCTGCCCCTTCCACCTCGATTTGAGGGTGTGGCACAAAGTTACTGTGCAGGATTCCCACCTGGGGATTCCCATTGTAGAAGGGAAATCTACAGGGGATTGGAGCTGCACGCTTTACAATAACTTTGGAGCTTCCGAGTGTGCTACTGAGAATGAGTTCTCAGAGTGTCGTTGGTGGGTTCTGCAGCTTTAGTTGCTTTCTCTAGAAAAGTTCATGCATGAGGACTCTAAGGAAGTGGCTGTTAATCCTTTTTGAAGGTTATATTTCATTTCCTCGAAGGGTGTGCGTCTGGGTGAAAAAAACCACTCTTGCCATTTTCCATGCCTAGGGAAACTGCTTCTAAAACATCTGTTTGTTTCCTCTCATGTTTCACTCAAAACTTTATACATCTTTATACATCCGATTCTGATTTGCAACTTCTCTGTTATCAGGAGCTTCACCACAGTCCCACCCCTGAAATAGCAGGAGGGAGGTTTTATAAAATGTCCTTGTATATGGAATCCCCCCAGAGTGCACTTAAATTTATTTCCCTAGCTTCTCAATTTCTCGTTCCTCCTTTGCCAGACATCTTGTTTTGATTTGGCTGTGGGTCCCTGCAACACACTGCCCATCTCTGCGGGTGACTTCTAGGGACAGATCCTCAGCTCCTGTAAATTGGCACGGCTCCTTTGATGTCAATGAACTTGGAGTTACCCTGATTTAGGCCAGCTGAGGGTTTGCAATGTTCGAAGTCAGCTCCAAAATAAAAGTCTCTGCAAATATTTCCATACTGTTTGCTCAGCTCTCTTTCCCAGGCTACATTTGTTGTGGCTATGCTGAGGGAATGTGCGGAAACAGCCTGGTATGAGCAGCTGGCCTGGTGGAATTATTACCGAGGGGAATCCAAGCTTGGGCATCTTGCCAGGCAAAGGCTTCTCAGAAGGCATCTCCTGTGTTGATACAGGTGTAGGGAATTCCAAAATGTCAGCATTTCCAGAGATAAACTCCCAAGCAAACGAACAGAATGAGAGGGCTCAATCCTACCTAGCCAACATCACTGCTTGCCTTGTAAAATCTTGTATGCATGAATGAGCATCTGCCTTGAGTAAACATGCAGCATTGTGCAGATGTGTCATAGGGTAGGACCGAAGAACCGGATTATAGGTTCTTATCACCAGGTGATACCCCCACAGCAATTTGTTTACAGTTACGGAGGGTATGCCTACACTGAACACCTCCCCATCCTCCCTGCAGTGAGTCTCAGAGCCTGGATCAACTGACTCATGCTATGGGGTTTAAAATAGCGGTGTAGACATTCCTACTCTGGCTGGAGTTCACACGCTGAAACCAAGTGAGGGTCCAGGCTCCAGCCCCATAGCGTGAGCCCAAGGCAGTTGAGCTGGACTCTGAGACTTGCTGTCGTGGGTCTATTTTTTGCAGTGTATACATACCCTCAGAAGTTAAAATTATTTCCACCACATCCTTTTGATTAGAAGCCGCCCATGTGTTTGCTCTGATAGGAAGGAGTAAGTGTTTGACTGGAAGAGTGTGTATATGTGTGTACCTTCCTTTGTGTGTATATGCAACTCATGATGGGCTGAAATCTCCACGATAATTTCAGGAAAGGAACGTACTCTAGAGCAGGGGCGGGCAAACTTTTTGGCCCGAGGGCCACATCGGGGTTGCGAAACGATATGGAGGGCCGGGCAGGGAAGGCTGTGCCTCCGCAAACAGTCTGGCCCCCACCCCCTATCTGCCCCCTTCCACTTCCCTCCCCCTGACTGCCCCCCTCAGAATCCCCGATCCATCCAACCCCACCTGCTCCTTGTCCCCTGACCGCTCCGACCCCTATCCACACCCCCATCCCCTGACAGGCCTCCTGGGACCCTCGACCCATCCAACCCCCCTGCCCCCCACACTCCTTCTCCCCTGACCACCCCCTCCCGGGACCCCCGTCCCTAACTGCCCCCCCCAGGATCCCACCCCCTATCCAACCCCCCCTGCTCCCTGTCGCCCCCCTCCCTGGACCCCCAAGGACCCCGCTCCCTATCCAACCCCCCTGCTCCCTGTCTCCTGACTGCCTCCCCTCCCCGAACCTCTATTCCATCCAACCACCCCTGTCCCCTGACTGCCCTCCTGGGACCTCCTGCCCCTTATCCAACCCCCCCACCCTTACCATGCCAGCGGCAGGACTGGCTTATTGGAAATCCTGGGAGATGGGTGGGCGCAAGCCGCAGCGGCGTCGCTGCAGGGGAGAGGGGACAGCGAGGGAGGGGCTGGGGGCTAGCCTCCCCGGCCAGGAGCTCAGGGGCCAGGCAGGACGGTCCCATGGGCCGGATGTGGCCCGCGGGCCGTAGTTTGCCCACCTCTGCTCTAGAGCCTTAGAATCAAGGTAGGGGTAGGTATGAAAAGAATAAAGGTGCATTTGCTTCTTTATTTAACATTTTCCCTATGTTTTCTCAGACACTTCTAGTCCTTACTTCTGTGTCAGCTTTCATTCCTTACTGCTGCTACTGCCTGTTCTCATCATCTTGCTCCTGCTGGCTGCGTGGTCCTTCTGTGATCCCTTTGGGTATCCTTCTCCCATTCATCTCCAGGGCTTCTTCCATGCAATGCCCTTATGCTAGGCCAAAACACATAAAACCACATAAAAGCCATTAAACATCACGGCTGCATCCAGGTTAGTCCTTACTGTGTCTGGTTTGAAGTGTCTGCCTCACATTTACTGAATGCTCTTCATGGGAAATATAAAATGTCTGGTACTTAAGATGATATATCAAGAAAGTTTGGTGACATGCAATAGTAAAATGCTGCATACGCATGGTCTTCCCTGGAATCTCTCATTTTAGGAGATCAGCGGCTTTCTGGAAGAAAAGTGGCAAATAGGAATTATGTTGATTGGTAGCATCATAAACTCAGGGGTCTCATCTGCTCCAAGCAATGAGAATACTTTCCCAGCTCCGCTCTTTTTCTTGCAGGGTGGGACGTCAGCACACTTAACTGTTGTTTCCATTCCAGCAACTACAACACAGTAAGTTCAAGCAGTCTGTGGAACTTATACCTGCCTTCTTCTGCACTGGTATGGCCAGGTTTTCTTCCAGACCACAGCCGGGCCTTGGGTTTTGCCCCCAAAGTTTTGTGGTTGCAAATAATCATGGGTCCAGCTTTTGCCTTCAGTTATTTGCAATCTCTGTTTAGATCATTCAGCTGTCTAAGTATATGATTTATTGGCAGTTGACCACTTCCAGACATCCAGGTTATTTTATGTGCACTTGCAAGTGAAAGATTGGAGGCAAGCATTCGAAATCTGGCCATTTGTAGTCTGTGTGAGACTAATGCAGCTATTAAGAAGAAAGTACTTATATAGCATCTGAAATCTCAAAGCACTTTACTAACATTAATAAAATCTCACAGCAACTTCATGAATCAGGACACATTATAACCATTTTACTGATGGGCAAATTGAAGTGGAGTGGTTAAGTGAGTTGCCCAGAGGACACAAACAAATCAGGAGTCATCGTGGGGAAATAAATCCAGGGGTCTCAGTCTTTTTACACGGAGGAATCAGTTTACAGCTTAAAGGCAGGCGGTGTAAAGTTTCCGGTGAAATGAGCTAGAGAGTATGTTTTCAACAAGTATCCTCTTGCAATGCTTAGACTCAAACTTTAGAACCCCCCTTCCTGGATTTGATGACTTCTGGATTTTTAGCCTAACATCCTCTTTTCTCAGGTTCTTCACAACCCTTTCTAGCCAGCCCCCCAGCTCTGAAGTAAAGTCCATAAAAATTCCCCTTCCCTGAGGTTCATAAGAACTGCCATACTGGGTCAGACTAGTGGGCCATCTAGCACAATATCCTGTCTTTGATAATGGCCAGTACCAGAGCCTCAGAGGGCATGTACAGAACAGGGCAATTTTGGAGAGATCCAGCCCTGTCTTTCCCTCTTGGCTTCTGGCAGTCAGAGCTTCAGGGTCTCCCTGATTATGGGGTTGCATCCCTGACCAACTTAGCTAACAGCCTTTGATGGACCTATTCTCCATGAACTTAGCTAGTTCTTTTTTGAACCCATTTATACTTTTGGCCTCCACAACATCCCCTGGCAATGAGTTCCACAGGTTATTTGTACATTGTGTGAAAAAGTATTTTGTCTTGTTTGCATTAAACCTGCTGCCTATTAATTACATTGTGTGACCCCTGGTTTTTGTGCTGTATCTATTCATTTTTTCCACACCATTCATGAAATTATAGACCTCTATCATATCCCCTTAATCGTTTCTTTTCTAAACTGAACAGCCCTAACTTCTTTAATCTCTCCTCGTATGGAGCCATTCCATACCCTTAATCATCTTTGTTGCCTTTCTCCGAACTTTTTCCTGTTTTACGTTTTGAGATGGGGTGGCCAGGTCTGGACCGTATTCAAGGTGGGGGAACACCATGGATTTATATAGTGGCAATATGGTATTTTCTGTCTTATTTTCTATATCTTCTAATAGCTTGTAACATTGTCAGCCTTTTTGACTACTGACCCTTCTATCCAACTGGCTCTTACATCCCTTCACCGTCTTCCTCTCAAGAGCCTCACTGTAAGTCTTGCCTCTTGCCTACTCTTTGTTCAAGAGAGCAAAGAGATCTTTAATTTCCTTGCTCCCTTTCCCAGCATGCATTACCACCCACCTGCAGTTCCCAGGGTTCCTTTGGGAACCACACATCCTCAGTTCTGTGCTGAATCAGAATTAGGGTGGTACTGCCCTGTAGCCTCCATTAAAGAGCCAGCAGTCTGTTCCATGAAAGAGGTTGTTCATTTTAATTGAGCATCGGAAACAGTGGCCTGCACCAGGCGTGTTCTGTTTTTTCTTTCTCTCAGTCTTACTGTAGGTTATGTTCTTTTCCCCGATGGGAAGAAGGCTGGCATTGACTGGTCCAATGCCTCACTGGCTGAAATGGCTGATGATGGTATTATCAGAGATTTATACCAAGTCAGTTTCACTGCAGGTAAGTTAAAGGAAGTCAGACCATCTTCAGTTTTTTCAGTACTAAACAAAATAGGAGTCTAGGATATAATTTCACTGAATTATAAGACAGGTACAAGCAAGGGGAATTTTGCAAGATGCGCTATTCGATTGCTGTATTTTCCAGAAAGCTCATGTACAGAATACAAGGAGGGGGAGGCCAAAATCAAACTAACGAGCATGTCCCCACTCCAAACCAACCCAGTCAGCAGAGTTCCTAGTGCTTCTAAAATGTTCTAGGAGTTAGGGCCTTGAGTCAGAGCAAGTAAACGTATGGTTAGAAAAACAAAGTTTCTAGGGCCTAGGTAAGGCTTGTGATGTGGGGGGCCTGCAGTCAGCATGGCTTCTGGTCTCCTCTCTCACTAAGCTCCCTTTTCTTGTTTCTAGGGCCTAACCCCAAGGGTGGGGCAGGGTGCTCCATGATTGCACCCAGTCTGTACTGGTTGTAAGTTCCAGACTGTCTCTTCAAAAGGCAGAACACCCTGCTACAAGTCACTATTATAATTGTATTGATCCTATTTTGGTTTAATTGTGTGTGGTTACCTCTCAAAGGGTCCAGCTACCAGACTCTTTTTGATCTGCAAAGACGTACAGGGTATGTCTACACAGCAACTGGGCACGCACTTGGGCTTGGGTTGCAGGGCTGTTTCATTGCTGTGTAGACTTCTGGGCTTGGGCTGGAGCCCAGGCTCTAGGACCCTGCAAGGTGGGAGGATCCCAGAGCTCAGGCTGCAGCCTGAGCCCCATGAGCCTGAGTTGGCTGGCATGGGTCAGCCACGGGTGTCTCGTTGCTGCATAAATATACCCACACATGTGCTTAACTTTAAGCATTGGAGTAGTCACATTGACTTCAGTGAGGCTATTGGAGTGCTTACGTATAAGCACATCTGAAATTCTTTGGTGGCCAGGAGCCTCAGGTAGCTGTACCAGACAGGATTTCAAATCCCCAATTGTGCTGAACATCCCTGTGTTGCTCAGGTTTAACTAGCTGGGAAATGAGTGCGGCAATTTCCAGTCTCCCTTGGTCAAAGCTCACATTTTGGCTTGGGAACCAGCTGCTCGAAAACACCTAGAATGGTGGAGGGCCAAAGAAGCTTTAGAAAAAATGTTCAAAATGTACACAAAATACTTAGAAATGTTTTTTTAAAAAAAGGTTTAGGGATGGGGGAACTGTATGAAATCAACATGAAGCTAGTTTCATCTTTACTAAGTACTCTGTCATATGTTCAAGGAAACCTGCCTACATTTTTCCTTCCCAAGGTGGCCAGTTCTTTGAGGTTCGTGCTATACTTGACAAGCAGGCTCGCCCTGTGATATATAATGGTTTAACCGGAGAAGGAGTATTCCATGAGTGCATTGCTGATTTCCAACTGAATCAAACAGTCCCAGGCTGGGGCTTGGTTGAATTTTATTACAGGTGAGATCCTGGTATACAGGAGTAGAGAAATTATTCTTATACTGAGAGCCGAGTGGAGACAGAAAACAAATATGCTTTCGAACAAAAGTCACACATGAATTGCCAACCTTGGTGTTCTCTGTTGTTTGCTTTCTGTGAATGTTTCCATAAGCACCGTTTGTTCCAAAGAACATTTTTGCAAAGCAAAACTGTCCTGAATACTTATGCATGTATTCTTGTGTCTATGTGTGCACCACGGGCTTGTGCAGCCATCTTTGAATCTCCTGCTGGCTTTGTGTGTTGGAAGGCCATCCGCTCTGGGAAAATGAAGGAGACTATGTCAAATTGGGTGGCCTCTCGCATTATGTAAATAATGAATCACAAGCATTATCCATTCACAAACAGCACTTTAACCATCTCAAGGCTGAAATTTGTTCAGCGGAAAGATTTGTCAAACAACTGCAAGTAGCAGACAAAGTATGAATAAACTCATCGTTTGTTCATGGATAACTTTGGTCACAGCGCTGGTAAAGCTCCCCCTGCTGGCCATTCACCAGGCTGTTGCTTTGGGCCCACATGCCATGTAGCCTGGGTCTTGAGCAGGGGTGAAAGTAAGTCAGGACACTTACCAGTACGGAGCCGGGGCGGCTCCGGCCCCTGGAAGGGGCGGGGCCTTGGGCGGAAGGGGCGGGGCTGGGGGATCAGCATTCCCCACCCAGTCCTTCCAGGCCGCCTGGCCTGCCCCGCCTGGGGCTCCCATGTTGATTTAAAGGGCCCGGGGCTCCGGCCGCCGCTGCTGGAGCCCCAGGCCCTTTTAAATCGCCAGCCCCAGGGCAGCTGCTCCCTTTGCCCCCCGCCCCTTGGTGGCGGGGATGGCAAAAGGGGCAGGGACGTTAAAGCGCTGCAGGGTCCCCGTTGGCGGCCCAGCTGGTACGGACCCTACCAGCAGGGCTGCCGCCAGGGGAGGCAAAAGGGGCAGGGACATTACAGTGCTGCCGCTACAGTGCTTTGATGTGGGCTGGGTATGGGCCGGTGCGGGTTCTTACCAGTACCCAGTACTGGCCTGTATTGGCTCACTTTCACCCCTGGTCCTGAGGCACACTCTGGCGGTGCAGCTCCTCCTTTTTGCACTGCCTTCTGAGAGCTGAGAGCCTAGGGTCCAAATGCCTAGACCCAGTGACTTAGGCCAGCTCCCCCAGAATCCCCAGTTGCTTAAGCACACCCTTTCTTACAGCTCCAGCCTTGGGGTCACTCTGGATGACAGTTTACTGCTCCAGGGGCACATCATAGATGAAGCACATAACACCCAGACTCTGCAAAAGGGATTTTAAAACAATTACTCTTTACTTGAGATAGCACAAGAAGTATATAGGTCTAAACTAAACAACACAACATCTCTATGCCATCCCTGCCTCAGTTTCCTTACCATTCTGGAGTGTTCTTCAGGATTTGGAGCAATGTCCTTTCAGGATCCCAAGTCCCTCTCTCCTGCACCTTTCTCATTATGGCTCCTCCTCTGGAACATGGAGTTCTCCCACTCTTCCAACCAGCTTCCTTTGGCTTGGCTGGTCCCATAGTCGAAGAAGACCTCCTCTGCTATGAAAGCATGTTCTTCTGTTCCTCTCCTGCCTAAGCATCCCTTTTCTCTGAGTCCCTCTGGGTTTTTAAATGTGAGCAGTAGCCCCTGGTTTTTGTGTTTTCCTGTTGGGGGATTTTCCGTTCTCCACTCCCCTGCAGATAAACTTGGTTGAACGGGTTTTTCAGCTCAGGCATCCCCCTTAGCATACCCACTGTTCAGCCAGAGCCCAGCTGTTATGGTTAATCCCTTCTTTTTGTTTACTCTGTGATATGTCAAGGACCCTATCTGCCCACGGTTGAGAGTCACTACACAGTGAGGCCTTTGATGATACAGCAGTTGTATAAAATTAACCAGAATTCATAAACTGTGCATAGACAGATTACTCAAATTGTCACAACTTGTGAACAGGAGAAAAGGATACAGTCACCAAATGCATCCTTCACTGCAAATTGTTCACTCAGCTGTGCTGAGAAGTATGATTATTTCTGATTCCCTGGATAATCCAGTAAAAGATTAAGCCCAAGTTTTTGCAAAATTAGTAATGATTCTTGGGACTCAATTTCAAACACCTTAAAGGGTCATGATGTTCAGAGGATGGGTGCTCAGCACTTTCTGAAAATTGGATTCCTTTAAGATATCTAAAACTGGACTCCAATGGAACATCAGTTACTTTTGAAAACTGTGGTCTGAGACTGTTGCCAGGTAACCAGATAGCTCATTAGACTCATAGACTTTGAGGCCAGAAGGGACCACCATGGTCATCTAGACCAGCGGTTCTCCACCTGTGGCCCATGGGCCGCTTGTAGCCCAATCAGCACACAGCTGCGGCTCATGTGACATCCTCAGGGCCGTATAGGTAATATATAGTGTGCATGCAGCCCACAATGGTAAATAGGTTGAGATCCACTGATCTAGCCTAACCTGCGCTGAGTGACATATTTTTGAGAATGTAGTATTCATGATAGAAAGGCTGTCTTACTCCTTGTCTTCCCTACCACTGTGGCATAACATGCATCGTTTCTGTACTTCTAGAGATACACCTGGGCAGCTCATTCCTAATTCTGGCTCTAGGTGGAAGGAGCCGTCCGTTCCTGCCAGCTCCCAATTCTCTGAAGAGCACTCTCAATGCATCGGGGACGTGGCAGGCAAAGGAGCCCAGCTAGGTCAGCTCACATAGTTACAGAAGCAGCTCTGGAACAAGGTGAGTTTCCACAAGGAGCCAGCATCTTTCATAGAATCATAGAATATCAGGGTTGGAAGGGACCTCAGAAGGTCATCTAGTCCAACCCCCTGTTCAAAGCAGGACCAATCCCCAACTAAATCATCCCAGCCAGGGCTTTGTCAAGCCTGACCTTAAAAACTTCCAACGAAGGAGATTCCACCACCTCCCTAGGTAACACATTCCAGTGTTTCACCACCCTCCTAGTGAAAAAGTTTTTCCTAATATCCAACCTAAACCTCCCCCACTGCAACTTGAGACCATTACTCCTTGTTCTGTCATCCACTACCACTGAGAACAGTCTAGAGCCATCCTCTTTGGAACCCCCTTTCAGGTAGTTGAAAGCAGCTATCAAATCCCCCCTCATTCTTCTCTTCCGCAGACTAAACAATCCCAGTTCCCTCAGTCTCTCCTCATAAGTCATGTGTTCCAGTCCCCTAATCATTTTTGTTGCCCTCCGCTGGACGTTTTCCAATTTTTCCACATCCTTCTTGTAGTGTGGGGCCCAAAACTGGACACAGTACTCCAGATGAGACCTCACCAATGTCGAATAGAGTGGAACCTTCAGCTCTCCAGTTTCCAGGCTGTGGAGTTTTGCAGTGACATCTGTGTGTTGTTATAAATGCATGTATGTGACAGGTCTGTCTTAGAAACTTGAGCTATATCGTAGAATCATGGGACTGGAAGAGACCTGGAGAAGTTTGATAATTGGGTCCTATATTGAGCAAAGCAGAGTGCATTGGACTGTCAAAACAGATATTTGGAGAGAGAGTTTCATAGAATCATAGGACTGGAAGGGACCTCGAGAGGTCGTCTAGTCCAGTCCCCTGCACTCATGGCAGGACTAAGTATTATCTAGACCATTCCTGACAGGTGTTTGTCTAACCTGCTCTTAAAAATCTTCAATGATGGAGATTCCACAGCTTCCCTAGGAAATTTATTCCAGTGCTTAACCATCCTGACAGTTAGGAAGTTTTTCCTAAAGTCCAACCTAAACCTCCCTTGCTGCAATTTAAGCCCATTGCTTCTTGTCCTATCCTCAGAGGTTAAGAAGAACAATTCTTCCTCCTCCTTGTAACAACCTTTTATGTACTTGAAAACTATTATCATGTCCCCTCTCAGTCTTCTCTTTTCCAGACTAAACAAACCCAATTGTTTTCAATCTTCCCTCATAAGTCATGTTTTCTAGACCTTTAATCATTTTTGTTGCTCTTCTCTGGACTTCCTCCTGTTTGTCCACATCTTTCCTGAAATGTGGCCCCCAGAACTGGACACAATACTCCAGTTGAGGCCTAATCAGCGTGGAGTAGAGCAGAAGAATTACTTCTCGTGTCTTGCTTACAACACTCCTGCTAATACATCCCAGAATGATGTTTGCTTTTTTTGCAACAGTGTTACACTGTTGACTCATATTTAGCTTGTGGTCCACTCTGACCCCCAGATCCCTTTCTGCAGTATTCCTTCCTAGGCAGTCATTTCCCATTTTGTATGTGTGCAACTGATTGTTTCTTCCTAAATGGAGTACTTTGCATTTGTCCTTATTGAATTTCATCCTATTTACTTGAGACCATTTCTCCAGTTTGTTCAGATCATTCTGAATTTTACCCTGTCCTCCAAAGCACTTTCAACCCCTTCCATCTTGGTATCATCCACAACCTTTATACTTTAAACTTATCACCTTATTTTCTTCTAGAAGTTTGCAAATTGATTGCTTCATTATTTGCTCCATGATCTTTCCGGATACAGAAGTTAAGCTGACTGGTCTGTAATTACTCAGGTTGTCCTTATTTTCCTTTTTATAGATTGGCACTATATTTGCCCTTTTCCAGTCTTCTGGAATCCCTTCCATATTCCATGACTTTTCAAAGATAATCGCTAATGGCTCAGATATCTCCTCAGTCAGCTCCTTGAGTATTCTAGGATGCATTTCGTCAGGCCCTGGTGACCTGAAGACATCTAATTTGTCTAAGTAATTTTTAACTTGTTCTTTTCCTATTTTAGCCTCTAATCCTATCTCATTTTCACTGGCATTCACTACGTTAGACGTCCAATCACCACCAACCTTCTTGGTGAAAACTGAAACAAAGAAGTCATTAAGCACCTCTGCCATTTCCAAATTTTCTGTTATTATTCCGCCCCCGCCCCCAATGAGTAATGGGCCTACCCTGTCCTTGGTTTTCCTCTTGCTTCTAATGTATTTGTAGAATGTTTTCTTGTTACCAGTGGTGAGCTGGAGCCGGTTCGCACTGGTTCGCTGGAACCGGTTATTAAATTTAGAAGCCTTTTAGAACCGGTTGTCCTGCGATGGACAGTCGGTTCTAAAAGGGCTTCTAAATTTAACAACTGGCCAAAAGTGGCGCCTTAGGCGCCGACTCCATGGGTGCTCCGGGGCTGGAGCACCCACGGGGAAAATTTGGTGGGTGCAGAGCACCCACCGGCAGCTCCCTGCCGGCCCCAGCTCACCTCTGCTCCGCCTCCACCTCCTCCCCTGAATACACCGCCCCTCTCTGCTTCTCCGCCCACCCTGCCCCGGTTTCCCGCGAATCAGCTGTTCGCGCAGAAAGCTGGGGAGGGCTGAGAAACAGGCCACGGCTTCACACTCAGGCTGAGGGTGGCAGAGGTGGAGCAGAGGGGAGCTCGGGCGGGGGAGTGGGGATGCGAGGAGGTCCGCCCGCCGCACAGCATGTAACCCGGGGGGGGGCGGTGCAGGGGAACCGCTCCCCGCCCCAGCTCACCTCTGCCACCCTCAGCCTGAGAAGGAAGCCGCCGCCTGCTTCTCAGTCCTCCCAGGCTTCCCACGCGAACAGCTGATTTGCGGGAAGTGGGGGCCGGGGGGGGCGGAGAAGCAGAGCGGGGCGGCGCGTTCAGGGGCAGAGGTGGAGGCGGAGGCGGAGGCAGAGCAGAGGCAGAGCTCTGCACCCACCAAATTTTCCCCGTGGGTGCTCCAGCCCCGGAGCACCCACGGAGTCGGTGCGTAAGGTGCCACTTTCGATGTGATCAGTGGGGAGAGCGGCTGCTCCCCCTGCTCCCCGCCAGCTACGCTACCCCACCCCTAGGAGCCAGAGGGACCTGCTGGATGCTTCCTGGGAGCTGCTCGGCAGGTGCCTCTGGCTCTTAGGGGCAGGGCAGGGTGGGCACCCACTACGGTGGCCCACAAGATCCTCCTGCCCAGTTCTGGGGGCAGTCAGGGGACAGGGGAGGGAGGTGGATGGGGCTGGGGTCCCAGGGGCGGGGGTGGCCAACGACCCCTCATGGGGTGAGGAGGGAACCGGTTGTTAAGATTTTGGCAGCTCATCACTGCTTGTTACCCCTTTATGTCTCTAGCTAGTTTGATCTCGTGTTGTGCCTTGGCCTTTCTAATTTTGTCCCTGCATATTTGTGTTATTTGTTTATATTCATCCTTTGTAATTTGACCAAGATTCCACTTTTTGTAGGACTCTTTTTAGATCATTGAAGATCTCCTGGTTAAGCTAGGGTGGTCTCTTGCCATGCTTCCTATCTTTCCTACGCAGTGGGATCATTTGCTCCTGTACCCTTAATAATGTCTCTTTGAAAAACTGCCAACTGTCTTCAATTGTTTTTCCCCTTAGACTTATTTCCCATGGGATCTTACCTACTAACTCCCTGAGTTTGCTAAAGTCTGCCTTCTTGAAATCCACTGTCTTTATTTTGCTGGTCTCCCTCCTACCACTCCTTTGAATCATGAACTGCATCATTTCATGATAGCTTTCACCCAAGCTGCCTTTCACTTTCAAATTGTTAACCAGTTCCTCCCTCTTTGTCAAAATCAAATCTAGAACAGCCTCTCCGCTGGTAGTTTTCTCCACCTTCTGAAATAAAAAATCATCTCCAATGCACTCCGAGAACTTGTTGGATAAGCTGTGCCCTGCTGCGTTATTTTCCCAACAGATGTCTGGGTAGTTGAAGTCCCTCATCACCACCAAGTCCTGGGCTTTGGATGATTTTGTTAATTATTTTAAAAAAGCCTCATCCACCTCTCCTTCCTGATTAGGTGGTCTATATAGTAGACCCCTACCATGACATCACCCCTGTTTTTTACCCCTTTTATCCTTACCCAGAAACTTCAGCAAGTCTGTCTCCTATTTCCATCTCAACCTCAGTCTAAATATATACATTTTTAACCTCCTCTCCTTTTTCCCTGCCTGTCCTTCTATACCAATATTCCAATCATGCATATTATTCCACCAAGTCTCTGTGCTGCCAACTATGTCATTGTTGTGTTTATTTACTAGCATTTTGAGTTCTTCTTGGTTATTCCCCATACTTCTCGCATCAGTATACAGACATCTAAGATAGTGATTTGATTCCCCCCCCCCACTCCCAGTTCTGTCTTGACTCTCCCTTATCCCTGCTGTAACAACCCAGGCTCCCCCCAGATTCTGACCTTTCTCCCAGGTCTCCATGTTTTTGACCTACCTGTGGGCTTTGGTCACCTGCCCCCTTCAAACCTAGTTTAAAGCCCTCCTCATGAGGTTAGCCAGTCCATATCCAAATATGCTCTTCCCCTTCCCCGATAGGTGGACCCCATCTCTGCTTAGCAGTCCTTCTTCCTGGAACAGCATCCCAGGGTCAAGGAAGCCGAAGCTCTCCTGATGACACCATCATCGCAGCCAGGAATTCATCTCCAGGATGTGTCTGTCTCTGCCGAGGCCCCTACCCTTGACCAGAAGGATCAACGAGAACACCACCTGTGCTCCCAATTCCTTCACCCTTACTCCCAGAGCCCTGTAGTCACTTCTGATCTGCTGAGGGTCATACCTCGCAGTACCATTAGTGCCCACATGGATGAGTTGCACGGGGTAGTAGTCGGAGGGCCAGATGATCCTTGACAATCCCTCCGACAATCTCCTTGATTTCTTTGTCCCTAGAAGTCATTACAAAATGGGCACAGAACATTTTGTGGTAAACTACCCAGATTTGTTAGTCTGTCTACAATTGTACCAGAAGCAGAACCAGAAAAAGTAAGAGACAATGACAGCACTTCTTTAAAAGGGAAAGGAGTACTTGTGGCACCTTAGAGACTAACCAATTTATTTGAGCATGAGCTTTCGTGAGCTACAGCTCACTTCATCAGATGTTTACTGTGGAAACTGCAGCAGACTTTATATACACACAGAGAATATGAAACAATACCTCCTCCCACCCCACTGTCCTGCTGGTAATAGCTTATCTAAAGTGATCAACAGGTGGGCCATTTCCAGCACAAATCCAGGTTTTCTCACCCTCCACCCCCCACACAAATTCACTCTCCTGCTGGTGCTAGCCCATCCAAAGTGACAACTCTTTACATAATCAAGTCGGGCTATTTCCTGCATAGATCAAGGTTTTCTCACATCCCCCCACCCCCATACACACACAAACTCACTCTCCTGCTGGTAATAGCTCATCTAAACTGACCACTCTCCAAGTTTAAATCCAAGTTAAACCAGAACATCTGGGGGGGGGGGGGGGGGGTAGGAAAAAACAAGAAGAAACAGGCTACCTTGCATAATGACTTAGCCACTCCCAGTCTCTATTTAAGCCTAAATTAATAGTATCCAATTTGCAAATGAATTCCAATTCAGCAGTTTCTCGCTGGAGTCTGGATTTGAAGTTTTTTTGTTTTAAGATAGCGACCTTCATGTCTGTGATTGCGTGACCAGAGAGATTGAAGTGTTCTCCGACTGGTTTATGAATGTTATAATTCTTGACATCTGATTTGTGTCCATTTATTCTTTTACGTAGAGACTGTCCAGTTTGACCAATGTACATGGCAGAGGGGCATTGCTGGCACATGATGGCATATATCACATTGGTGGATGTGCAGGTGAACGAGCCTCTGATAGTGTGGCTGATGTTATTAGGCCCTGTGATGGTGTCCCCTGAATAGATATGTGGGCACAATTGGCAACGGGCTTTGTTGCAAGGATAAGTTCCTGGGTTAGTGGTTCTGTTGTGTGGTATGTGGTTGTTGGTGAGTATTTGCTTCAGGTTGCGGGGCTGTCTGTAGGCAAGGACTGGCCTGTCTCCCAAGACTTGTGAGAGTGTTGGGTCATCCTTTAGGATAGGTTGTAGATCCTTAATAATGCGTTGGAGGGGGTTTTAGTTGGGGGCTGAAGGTGACCGCTAGTGGCGTTCTGTTGTTTTCTTTGTTAGGCCTGTCCTGTAGTAGGTAACTTCTGGGAACTCTTCTGGCTCTATCAATCTGTTTCTTTACTTCTGCAGGTGGGTATTGTAGTTGTAAGAAAGCTTGACAGAGATCTTGTAGGTGTTTGTCTCTGTCTGAGGGGTTGGAGCAAATGCGGTTGTATCGCAGAGCTTGGCTGTAGACGATGGATCGTGTGGTGTGGTCAGGGTGAAAGCTGGAGGCATGCAGGTAGGAATAGCGGTCAGTAGGTTTCCGGTATAGGGTGGTGTTTATGTGGCCATTGTTTATTAGCACTGTAGTGTCCAGGAAGTGGATCTCTTGTGTGGACTGGACCAGGCTGAGGTTGGTGGTGGGATGGAAATTGTTGAAATCGTGGTGGAATTCCTCAAGGGCTTCTTTTCCATGGGTCCAGATGATGAAGATGTCATCAATATAGCGCAAGTAGAGTAGGGGCTTTAGGGGACGAGAGCTGAGGAAGCGTTGTTCTAAATCAGCCATAAAAATGTTGGCATACTGTGGGGCCATGCGGGTACCCATAGCAGTGCCGCTGATCTGAAGGTATACATTGTCCCCAAATGTGAAATAGTTATGGGTAAGGACAAAGTCACAAAGTTCAGCCACCAGGTTAGCCGTGACATTATCGGGGATAGTGTTTTTGACGGCTTGTAGTCCATCTTTGTGTGGAATGTTGGTGTAGAGGGCTTCTACATCCATAGTGGCCAGGATGGTGTTATCAGGAAGATCACCGATGGATTGAAGTTTCCTCAGGAAGTCAGTGGTGTCTCGAAGGTAGCTGGGAGTGCTGGTAGCGTAGGGCCTGAGGAGGGAGTCTACATAGCCAGACAATCCTCAGGCCCTACGCTACCAGCACTCCCAGCTACCTTCGAGACACCACTGACTTCCTGAGGAAACTTCAATCCATCGGTGATCTTCCTGATAACACCATCCTGGCCACTATGGATGTAGAAGCCCTCTACACCAACATTCCACACAAAGATGGACTACAAGCCGTCAAAAACACTATCCCCGATAATGTCACGGCTAACCTGGTGGCTGAACTTTGTGACTTTGTCCTTACCCATAACTATTTCACATTTGGGGACAATGTATACCTTCAGATCAGCGGCACTGCTATGGGTACCCGCATGGCCCCACAGTATGCCAACATTTTTATGGCTGATTTAGAACAACGCTTCCTCAGCTCTCGTCCCCTAAAGCCCCTACTCTACTTGCGCTATATTGATGACATCTTCATCATCTGGACCCATGGAAAAGAAGCCCTTGAGGAATTCCACCACGATTTCAACAATTTCCATCCCACCACCAACCTCAGCCTGGTCCAGTCCACACAAGAGATCCACTTCCTGGACACTACAGTGCTAATAAACAATGGCCACATAAACACCACCCTATACCGGAAACCTACTGACCGCTATTCCTACCTGCATGCCTCCAGCTTTCACCCTGACCACACCACACGATCCATCGTCTACAGCCAAGCTCTGCGATACAACCGCATTTGCTCCAACCCCTCAGACAGAGACAAACACCTACAAGATCTCTGTCAAGCTTTCTTACAACTACAATACCCACCTGCAGAAGTAAAGAAACAGATTGATAGAGCCAGAAGAGTTCCCAGAAGTTACCTACTACAGGACAGGCCTAACAAAGAAAACAACAGAACGCCACTAGCGGTCACCTTCAGCCCCCAACTAAAACCCCTCCAACGCATTATTAAGGATCTACAACCTATCCTAAAGGATGACCCAACACTCTCACAAGTCTTGGGAGACAGGCCAGTCCTTGCCTACAGACAGCCCCGCAACCTGAAGCAAATACTCACCAACAACCACATACCACACAACAGAACCACTAACCCAGGAACTTATCCTTGCAACAAAGCCCGTTGCCAATTGTGCCCACATATCTATTCAGGGGACACCATCACAGGGCCTAATAACATCAGCCACACTATCAGAGGCTCGTTCACCTGCACATCCACCAATGTGATATATGCCATCATGTGCCAGCAATGCCCCTCTGCCATGTACATTGGTCAAACTGGACAGTCTCTACGTAAAAGAATAAATGGACACAAATCAGATGTCAAGAATTATAACATTCATAAACCAGTCGGAGAACACTTCAGTCTCTCTGGTCACGCAATCACAGACATGAAGGTCGCTATCTTAAAACAAAAAAACTTCAAATCCAGACTCCAGCGAGAAACTGCTGAATTGGAATTCATTTGCAAATTGGATACTATTAATTTAGGCTTAAATAGAGACTGGGAGTGGCTAAGTCATTATGCAAGGTAGCCTGTTTCTTCTTGTTTTTTCCTACCCCCCCCCCCCCAGATGTTCTAGTTTAACTTGGATTTAAACTTGGAGAGTGGTCAGTTTAGATGAGCTATTACCAGCAGGAGAGTGAGTTTGTGTGTGTATGGGGGTGGGGGGATGTGAGAAAACCTTGATCTATGCAGGAAATAGCCCGACTTGATTATGTAAAGAGTTGTCACTTTGGATGGGCTAGCACCAGCAGGAGAGTGAATTTGTGTGGGGGGTGGAGGGTGAGAAAACCTGGATTTGTGCTGGAAATGGCCCACCTGTTGATCACTTTAGATAAGCTATTACCAGCAGGACAGTGGGGTGGGAGGAGGTATTGTTTCATATTCTCTGTGTGTATATAAAGTCTGCTGCAGTTTCCACGGTAAACATCTGATGAAGTGAGCTGTAGCTCACGAAAGCTCATGCTCAAATAAATTGGTTAGTCTCTAAGGTGCCACAAGTACTCCTTTTCTTTTTGCGAATACAGACTAACACGGCTGTTCCTCTGAAACCGTTCTTTAAAAGGGATGTCCATCAGTGAACTCAAACCTACAACACCATGTGCAAATATTAAATAGTCCTACCAATACTTCTAATCGAAAGTTTGTGGTTTATATCTAAGAATACAAAAATCTCTTAGAAATAATCTGCATTCTGCTCAGAGCACTGAATGGTTATAATGTGCCATCAAACAGTAGAAATGCAGTGTTATTTATTAGTATCATTCTTGTGAAAGATCCTGGACTGCCAGCCCTATAAAGTGAAGTCCCATGTGTCTGCAGAACAGATACACGGTGCAGCTGCAGTTTAAGTCTTGTCAAAGTGCTTTAACCCCAGTTTAGGTGGGACTGCCACCTGTAGGGCTAAGAGTGTAGTACAGTCTCTATGCGTATTCATTTTTAGTTTCTATGCTCAGACTGCCAGTTAGGAGACTATTAGTGCCAAAGATGATGGGTTTTTTTTTTTTCTGATATGGATACCTTTCCATTAGAAATTGAGTTGAGATCACCGCACAGATAAGCAAATTCTTTTGAAGTAGGTCACCAACACTGCACCAGGTGGTAACTAGTCTGGCCCACACACTTTATGTCAATTGCTAAAAAGCTTTGTAGACCATCACCAATGTCTCAGATGATCTAGTTCCCCCCGGGAATAAAGTTCTCTTGTAATGTTTGTCTGTTTCATTAGAGGGGCTTAAGGGCCTGTGCAGATATCCATTTATAGTAATTTTGGCAACTTTTATATAAGGGAAATTTATTTTCCATTATGCTTGGCTAGTTGTAACAGTGTAGTTTAAAAAACAAACAAACCAGTATACGTCCATGTACTTTTAAGAATAGATTACTTAACAGTTAGTGAAGGTATTCAGCAGCCAAGGCAAAAGCATTATTTTAAAGCCTGAACTTAGTAGCAAATAGACAGTTGTTTAGTAAATGACTTGGGCGGGGGGGGGGGAGTACAATGCATTTGCCGCTGTGATACATTGTAAATTATTTAGGTATATGTTACTGTGCAGTAGCTGCCTATCACATACTTAGAAATATGTTAGCTCTTTATAATTCATTGTTGGACAACTTTTAAAATCAGTTGCTTTTTAGAAGAACATAAACCACAGAAATTCTTTATTTATCAACCAGGACCTGGCTAAAGAAAGACACAAACATGAATCAGGGTTTTGGGATTGGGTCACATTTAGAAATTGGAACCTTTCCAGCCTGATCTTGAATGAGTAATGTAATAATCATTGTAGTAAATGCTAGTTAGACAGGCTTTAGCCATTAAAAACAGAAAGATCACTAAGCATGAAAAACCATAATGCACAGTTTGCTCTTGTTTAAACATTTGCGTGGAACAAACTTTCCTGGCGTCTGTCTGATGTCTTAGGTTTCACAGTGATATCTTAATTAATCATGCCAATACCTGTTTGGCAACAAAGTTAGATCTCCCCTTTCTTCCAATCATGGGCTTAACAATATACACCTAACATAGATTCTGATCCCTGAGTCTTAATGGCGTTTGTGTGCAAAATTCCTCACTCTCAGCCATTACAGGCTATTACGCCTGGGGGAATTCTGCGCACCCGCAGAGCACAGAATTAATCTCTCTCACATAATTTTATATTTTCCTGCATAAAAACCATTTTGCCAAAGAAGTGCTGCAGTTTCGCCATGTGCCCACCAGAGGCCGCTGTGGTGCCAGAACAGCCAGTTGCGCGTTCGTGCCGACTGGTCTAGCGCCACAGCGCCCTCTGGTGGGAGAAAGGGGGACCTGCGGCACTTCCTAGGCAAAATGTATGTTGCTAGGGAAAATACAAAATTCTGTGCCCAGTGCTGCAGATTTCCCCCAGGAGGAGAGCTCATCACAGCACCCTGCCCGCGGAGCCAGGTTAGGACAGAGCGGGGCACACAGGGATGCTGGGGCAGGTCACAGACTGAGGTTCAGAATGGCTAGTGGGGGGACAGACTGGAGCACGGGCTCAGCAGCTAGTGCGGTGAGGGCGTTAAGCCTGGGGACGGGAGAGGGAGGCTGCAGATGCCCATGGGGAGGAGGGGTGTGGGGACAGGAGCAGATGTGCCTGACTGAATGGGAGAGGTCTGGGGCAGCCAGGGTCTGCATGGGGGAGGCTTTCCAACACCCTAACAATTCCCCCGCCCCAAAGAAAAACCTCCCCCCCACACCCAACACCTTCCAGGTTCACTCTAGACTCCTTCCCTCTCCCTCAGCTCCTCTATTACCCCGACTCCCCCAAGCCTTTGCACGGCTTCTGACAGGTGCAGGAAATACAGTTCTGTATTGTAACTTAAATGAATCGCACAAAGTTCTGTATTAATATGCCTAGTAAGGAATCTATTTGTCAAAAAAAATTACCAGAATATTTCTTTTTGGTCTGTATTGTTACAGACATACTTGCTGACAGATATTTTGAAAGATACTACCAAAATAATTGTAACTGGCATGATTATATTGTGTAATATCGACAACTAAAATATGCAGAATTTTCAAATATTGTGTACAGAATTTTTAATTTTTTGCCGCAGAATTCCCCCAGGAATAAGCTATGTAACCAAACAACTGAATCTGACATGAGCATGGCCTCAGGAGACCTGGTTTCTTTTCAAGGCTCTGCCACTGGCCCCACTGGGGGACCTTTGGGCATGTCACTGCATCATTCTGTGCCTCAGTTTGCCCGTCTGTAAAATGGGAGCAATGATATGTCCCTCTGTTGGAAAGCCCTTTGAGATCTGATTGAAAGTACTGTATAAGACTACGGTATTATTATTAGAGCTGTATATTCTGTGTCTAGCTTTCTTCTCATGGGGCCCAGAAAGAGAAGTCCTGCAGCTTAGAGCTATCGGTGTTTTAGAAGTCAGAGTGAACTGGCCTTTCTTTTGCATTGGAAAATATTGTGTGACATCCAGTCCTAATGACAGCCGTGCTAGACTGATCACGGTTCGACATCACACTGAAGTAAGCTGCTTTAAAATCTCATGGGTGAAATTCTGGCCCTACTGAAGCTGATGGGAGTTCACCCTGTGAATGATATTCTGGCTTCATTGAAATCAGTGGCAAAACTCCATTTGACTGTAAATAGGATCAGGATTTCGTGCTGAAGCTTCCTTCATACTCTGAGATCACTTACAGCCTTTAACTCTTCTACATACAACCATGTGGTTACTGATAGTTCCCAGATAACAAAGGTAACATTGGGAAACACTGATTTTGTGATAGTTTAGAGAAAGTGCTTTTGGGTCACTGTCTCATGGTATAGGACTGTATCATGCCTTAGTTTTCTAAGTAGAACTCTTCATTGAACTGTGTAAGGAAACATGCCTTAAATGACTTTACATTTGATCTGAGACAAGAAATTCTATTCAACAGTCTGCTTTCAGTTCTCTTACACAGAACCGTATAAAGCAGAGGTTCTCAAAGTGGGGTTGTGACCCCTCAGGGAGTTGTGAGGTTATTACATGGGGGGTTGTGAGCTGTCAGCCTCCTCCCAAACCCCACTTTGTCTCCAGCATTTATAATGGTGTTAAATATATAAAAAAGTGGTTTTAATTTATAAGGGGGGTCGCACTCAGAGGCTCGCTATGTGAAAGGGGTCACCAGTACAAAAGTTTGAGAACCACTGATACAAAGTATATGGCATCAGCTGAGGAAAAAAGTTATAAAATATACTATAGCTGAAGTCATTTTCCCTTAAACTCAGGTCTGCATTTTCAGAAATGTGTACATGCAAAATGTGCTCACAGTTGTGTGTCTAATGTGTAAGTGCAGTTGCCACAATTGTGAGAGCAATGCCGCACACAAATGATTAGGAAGCCATCACTTGCATGCAGGATTACTGAGATTGCTTATTGGCTGATCTATAGTAGTGGATTTTGTATTTAATGGGACCCCCCACTGCACTTCCCAGTTCATCGTCCCTGAAGGTTAGCACTGGAACATCAGATGAAAGACAACCGTGTTCTACAGGAAGCTGTGAAGGAGCACACTCAAGTGGCCTGGATTGCCGGTTCTTTGTGTAACAGTATTCTGGGATCAGAGCAATGCTTCCTCCCGCTTTGTTCCAGAGCGTGGTCTGGATTTTTAGAATTTCCTGTGCTCTCTGAAAAGAAATAGAGTGCAACTTAAATTAAAAAAAAATATCCAACATTTTTCTTCTACGAATGACTTTCTTAAAGTTAGTATTGGCTGACACATTTCAAGATCCTGTTTACCTGGGCCAAATCATTGGCACAGTGTAAATAGAGAGAAGATTATTTCAATCATTCAAGTTACAACTAGTAATAAATTTGCCACAGTACTGTCCTCTCTCCTATAGGGATCTAACCTGATTATGGGAAACAGCGTGGGGAATATTATAGGCATCTGCCCTGGTTCTGGGATAGTCAGGTCACCATGTGTAAAAGGCATTAAGTTATTCTGCGTAACATATTAGGCCCCTTCCAGCTGTTTAACTTAGCGGGCCTTTTTACTTGCAGCCTGGAACTCTTAGCTCTGTACGTTGAAACAGTGCACCTGGCCTTTATGGTTCTCTTTTCTAAGGCAACCTTTGACTGAAAGCTTTGGCGATTAGTCTGATATCTCCAGTAAATAGCACTGCTTCTGTTACAAGGAGATTATTTAAGAAACAAATTCTTTGGGTCTCTGGGAATCTGCACTAGAGTCCCATCGAAGCCCATCGACAAACTCCCAATAACTGCAAAGAGACAAAGATTTGGTCATTGGGGGATAAAAAATACATCTGTAAATATGGGGTTAAATTCTGGCCCCACTGAAATCAATGGGAGTTCTGCTATTGACTTCAGTAGGGCCAGGATTTCACCTATGGCTTTTTATGATTATGTATATTTTGGTCAGAATACCAGCCCACCTGTTGCTTGAAGGACTGCTAGTTAAGAGTGAATCGTAGAGCCCAATGGCTGGAATTATAGTTATTGGAGCGGTGTGAATACTACAAAACAATATTCACCAATTTTAGGATGTTCTAAAAATCTTTGTACATCTTGGAAAACAGACAATGTAATATTGTCTGAAACAAGTAGCATTTAATACCATTAATATAATGACACTGGAAACACAAACAAACTATTTCCCCATGTTTATTTCCCCCCCACACCCCCCACTGCTCTTCAGACATTCTTGTTAACTGCTGGCAATGGCCCACCTTGATTATCACTACAAAAAGTTTTCTCCCCCCCACCCCCCACTGGTAATAGCTCATCTTAAGTGATCACTCTCCTTACAGTGTGTATGATAACATCCATTTTTTCATGTTCTGTGTGTATATAAATCTCCCTACTGTATTTTCCACTGAATGCATCTGATGAAGTGAGCTGTCGCTCACGAAAGCTTATGCTCAAATAAATTGGTTAGTCTCTAAGGTGCCACAAGTCCTCCTTTTCTTTTTGCGAATACAGACTAACACGGCTACTACTCTGAAACATATTATGAATCAGTTTCTATTTAGAAGAAGTTTATGAAAGAGGTAATTTTAGAAAGTGGATGCAAGTATCATACTGTTACACATCACATTTTGTTCCTATATTTAACTATAAAGTGAATATTCATTATAATTTCAGGAACATCTGTTCCTGTGAGGTTGTTTTTATCATCACATCTGTTTATTGTGTCTGTCTTGTACCTTTTCTAATCTTTCTCCTATAGGATATAAACAATTTTTTTTAAAAGAAAGAGAAATGGGAACACGATCAAGCATCACTGAAAAGATGAAATGTTTGCAGTGGCTATTTTTGGTTCATAATTATAGCCATTGATATGGGAGGGTTATTTTACCTTGACGTCCATATTATTATTTTCCCCTCAGTAAAATAAAACCAGGAAACCTTCAGGAGCTTTGCAAAAGATAAAAACAGACAACAGACTCATCAAACCTTTATCCCCTCCTCCTTCCTCTTTTGTTCTTGAAACTGATGTGCAGTATGGTTGGGAACCATCTGATGGGACGCTGGGGAACTATCAGCTACAAAATGTTAGTGCTCAGTTCTGTATTCCCTTTGCAGACTTGGAAGGCCAGGTGGGCAGTGGGACCTGCATGGTTCCCCTGTGCAAGAAGGTAAGATTTAGGGGGTCCGTGCCCCCTGCATTCCAGGCAGCACAGTCCAATGGGGGGCCCCTGTGTCCTCAATGCTGAGAGTGAATTTGGGGGTTGGAATAGAAAATCCATGCTTCTGTGCCTGGGAGTTCACATAGATCCATGACTTTGCAGGCTCACATGGATCCATGATTTAGTACTTTTGAGTAGCAGGCCCATGGACAGACTCAGGTGCTCAGCACCTCTCAAGCTGGGCCCGTAGATGGGGGATGTTATTAATTACTAGTACATTTTCTTAACTAAGAAGACAAGGATAAAGGAGGAACGTTCAGGGAGGCACAGTGGGACTTGGGCCAGCCCCCACAGGGGATGGGGAGGGAGCACCACCCAGCCTTGCTCCGTTCCGGCCCCCCTCCCAGCCCTGGCTCAGTGGGGGGTAAAACGGGAACACAGGCAGGGGTAAGGGGGGTGCAACCCTGAAAAATTTGGGGACCACTGATTTAATGCTTTTTGAAGGTGCTGGAGAATGACCTCTTGGGATCAAGAGTTCAAAATCCATTCAGTCATTCAAGCTTGGCAGCTAGAGTAGCAGTATGATTGACTTCTCTGGGATCTACTCACTTGCTGATAATTAACTTTCAGTGCTCAAGGTGGGGTGAAAGTAGGAGTGATGGGATTAAATTTAGCAGATGGAAATCTAGGATGAATTCAGGAAAAAAACATAATCCTAACTAGGAGACCTGTTAGTCAAAGGGAAGGGGAAAAAATAATGGATTTTTTTCAGTTTGGCCACCGTACCAGAAAAATCAACTATTCAGCCAGCTCTAGGGGGAATCTCCATCGCCTGAGTTATTTAAATCTAGATTGGGTAGGTCTTGGGGATACACTGTTGTGGAAAATGCTGCACGGTGGGGAAGTGGTCTAGAGGCGTGAATAGGTCTGATCCTTGTGATTCTGCAAAGCAGCTGAGGCTGAAGACGGTTATTGGTTGATAATCCTGACCTGAGCTCTCTAGCTAGGAAAACATATGGGTCCCATTTGCTTGCAGAGGGCCTCAGATAAATGGAAACTAGCAGCTATGCATGAATGCTTACTGATGCTCTAATACTTATGTGGTGTTTTACTCACAAACTCCCTAGGCCCAATCCGGTGTGTTGCTCAGCTCCTGGTCTGTGTGATGGTCTCGTTTACTTTTCCCCCAGGTGTGTGAGGGGATACAGAACTGCCGGGCCTCACTCTACTCATTTGCGGCCGTACGGTATCACTGGCAATGAGGCCAACTGATCCCAGCGCACATGGGAGTCGTCATCCAGTGAATGGTGCCAGCCGATGCAGCAGGTCAGCCACTCGTGTGTCCTCTGGAGCCCCTTCCTCAGGTCTTTTACTCCCTGCTGGGCTTTATGTACTGTTGCAGTAGCCTCTGAGGTCTCTTTGCACCCCATGGAGGTGCTTGGCTGGTGGCTCTGCACAGCCACACATCCGCTGGCCTTGCCTTGCTCTCCCCACAAGCCACCATCCCAGACCAACACCCATGAAGCTCAGGGTCACAGCATGCAGCTGGTGTGGATCCCACCTTTTGTGCTCCTCCTTCCCACTCTGCAGGTGAACTGACCTGATTTCCCTGCTTTTCATGCTGTTCTCATGCCCCAGAGCTGGAAGTATGTGGGGGAAAGACTCTGAGGACCAGGACTTGGGTGCATTTGTGTCTAGTACAGGCGGAGCTGGTAGCATTGTCTGTTATTAAGGTTGCCTGCCACATCCCATTATAAGATCCTGTTTTTAGCTGCTTATCACTTTTTGCCAAAATGGAACCATTTGGGCTGAAATTATCCATGCTGGGTATCTGCCTCAGGCTGACATTATTTGTTTATTTATCTATTTATTTTTAAGGGTCAGCCAGAAAGGTTCATCTGTTTCTGAGAACGAGGTCAGGGAAAAATAGATTGCTTTGCCTATTTTATAGAAATTCTGGTGACTTTTTCTTTGAAAAGCCGTTGTGCCCCTGTGCTTTGAAGAATGGACTTGACATCTGTTTTGGAGAAGGCCTGGTCTTTGTCTCAGGGATGTGCCTTTAGCCACCTCTGTGAAAATCTGCCAGGTTATAAGCCTTTGAAAACTCAGTGAAGCCTTGCTAGAGCTTCATAGCTAGATTCCCTGAAGTGTCCATCCATTCTGAGCTTGCTCCAGCCTGGGACTGATCAGGACTTTCCCTGCAATTGCTGCTGTGGGCTGATCCAGGCCGAAGTTGGGCACCAGAACTAAAAGCAGGGAGCCTGTCGCCCATGCGCTCTCAGTGACCCCTCTGCAGGGCCGAAGCAATATGGAGGAGGAAGCTGCCTGATTTGAATGCAAAGGAGACAAGAGCGAGACCTGGAGTGGGGGTTAAGGGAGTAGATTTGGACGAGGAGCTGTGGGGGGAGACTGTGGTTGGAAGCTGGTGGGGGGTGGGGTGAAGAGGGATACAGGGACTGGGAGTTGGGTGATGGAGAAGGAAATGGGACTGTCACCCATTGGGGAGGAGACTGGAACTGGATGAAGAGCTGGGGGAGACGGGTTGGCTGGGCAAGGAGCTGAGGGGTGAGGAAGAGAAGTGAGAAGAGAAGCATGAACTTCACCATTCCTCTGCTGTCAACAGATATCTGTGACTCCCACTGGCAAAGTGTCTCATCCCTCTACTCCACAAAGAGGATGACAAACGACTACTGCTATCAGTTACGCTGTTAACTCATGTGGCAGAGATCTGTGTAGTGAAGCTGATGATCTATGAGGTGTTAATAGGATTCCACATAATGGAACTTCTATTTCTCCAGTTTGAGTTCTTTGAACACATTGGAAACTGCATGCAAAAAACCTACATTAAAACAACGTTATTCAGGTTGCAAAATCAAGCACTCAGAAGTTAGGAAATGCTAGAATTAAGGTTGCTGTTACAGCTTCAGTTTGGCCCTTGGGTGTGTCTACGTTATGATACAGCCTTTAATTACATCAGGGGTTCTCAAACTGGGGGTCGGCGAGGTCATTACACGGGGGGTCATGAGCTGTCAACTTCCACCTCAAACCCCGCTTGCCTCCAGCATTTATAATGGTGTTAAATATATTAAAAAGTGTGTTTAATTTATTAGGGGGGGGTCGCACTCAGAGGCTGTTTATGTGAAAGGGGTCACCAGTAAAAAAGTTTGAGTCCCACTGAATTACATGATCACATTTTCCACAGGACCCCGCCTCATTCAGTGCCTAGGATGGAGCTACCGTGAGGCTCCATCAGGTCTGTGCAGTGAATGAGGCTGTTGTCTGTAGGGACCCCTTCTTCATTTGTTACTGAAATTGGAATGTGTGCAATGAACAAGGCAAGGCACTGCAGGAAGAGGAAGGATAGCCACCTGGTCAAAGCTGCCCTAGAAAATTGGATTCTATCCCTGCCTGTGCCACAGAGTTCCTGAGGGATTCTATTGAAGTCACTGACACCAAACTTTTCAGAGGTGGTCATTAACTGAGTCAAGTATCACGGGGTAGCTGTGTTAGTCTGTATCCTCAAAAACAACAAGGAGTCCGACGGCACCATACAGACTAACAGATTTATTGGAGCATAAGCTTTCGTGGGTAAAAACCTGAAGAAGTGAGGTTTTTACCCATGAAAGCTTATTAACTGAGCGTTTCTCATTTTCTGGGTGCCTGCCTTGAGGGATCCGATTTGAAGAAGTGTTGTGTACTCACAACTGCAACTGAAATCACTGGGAGCTGTGCATTGAAGCAATTAAGTCCTCTATAATGCTAAGTACTCTGCAGTATCAGGTCCTTGGCATCTCTGATCGGGCACCCCAAATTAGTGCATACTTTTGAACTTAATTTCTCTGTGCCTCAGCTCATCATCTATACCCCCTCCTCTCACTGGGGTGTTGGGAAAGTAAATTAATGTATGTTTGAGAAGCACTCAGGTGAGCATCATAGGAAAGCCCACGAGGAATTAAGTAATTCTGTATTCAGAGTAGGGTTTGAATAGCGTGCAGTCAATAAAGCATGGGACCACATCTTGAACAATGAGGATAAAACAAAATACTGAAAAGCTGCTCATTAAGTGTACATTGTGCATAAATCAAGGTTCTTTTTCTTGTGGAAAAAATACTATGTGATCATGTAATTAAGAATGTATCATGATACATACAGAGAAGGAAGCCAAATTGAGGTTTCACAGGCAACTTTAATTCTGGTATTTCCTAACTTCTGAGTGCTAGACTTTGCAAACTTTAATGCTCTTTTGACATAATTTTTTGTGGATGATATATATATTACAGCTGGGCAAAATTTTTCGACCCGAACTTTCTGCAAAAAATACAGATGCAGTGACACTGATATGTTTCATGAATTCAAGTTAATAAAACCAAAATGTTTGTTTCAGGAAAAAAAGTACTGAAAAATCAAAATGTTTCATTTTGACAATTTTGAAATGAAACATTTTGATTTTTCTATTTGAGACAACTTTTCATTTTGAAATTCCTTTTAAATTTATTTTAAAAAATGTTTAAATTCACTTAAAAATCAAAACATTTCATTCAACCTGAAATATTTTTTTTTACTCTTCATTTAGTTGAAAATTTTGAAATTTTTTGTTTTCAGTTAGACCCCCAAAATCCATTATTCATCCATCTCTCTCTCTCTCTCTCTCTCTCTCAAACACCATCAGAGAGAAGGTAAAGGATAATTTTCAGTGAAGTTGAGTGAATAATTCACAGATGATATTTTTCTGATGGTTTTTAATTTATTTTCCTTCTCTCAGAACATCCACAAGCAAATTAGTTTCCTCAGATTTATTCAGTAGTCAAAGTCATTCAACACCCTTTTTTTGCTCTGTGGCTCGATAGATAAACAATTTATTGTGACTATTCAATACTTGAGATCTGAGTTGTGTTGCTTAGTTGTGATGGTTAGAAGTCACATGATACTGTTTCTGGAGTGGATAACATACAACTTGGAAATGTGCCAGCCAAGGATCATTTGTCCCAGTAAAACTCTATCTTTCCAATGTGAGAGGAGAGTGAACATAAATTGACAGTCACAGAAAATGTTATTTTCAATCAGTATTTGGCAGTCGCTTATTTTGTCCCACATAAAATGTCCTTTCCAGGAGTGCTGTTCACTTGCGACCCAGTTCCTGGACATCCCGGGAAGATGGTTATCAGTGCAAGCTGTGGACTTGGGGAGGTTAGTGAGAATCTTTGTTGTATTAAAAATCACTTTAGAGTAAGTGTGAGAAGAAAGGAGAAAGAGGAAATAAGATATTTCGACTGTAAATTGTACCTCTGCCCTTTGCACATGGGGTTGGTTTGGTAGGTCTGCTTCATAGCCATTCAGCACTTTGAATATTAGCACCTGCCTGTGTTGACCTCCTTTCTAATTCATGTTGGTTATTCCCTGAGAACTGATAAATATGTTTGTTATGTACAACCACAGTAGGGACACAGGACTGGAAGGGATCTCCTGGGTCATCGAGTCATCAGTGCTCTGCTATGGCAGGCAACCCCGTCCTATAATCGTGTTCATAAACTTAACAAGCTCTATCTTAAAACTAGTTTTGGTTTTCCCCCCCACTACTCCAATTGCAAGGGTTGTGCCAGAACCTCACTTCTCTGATGGTTAGAAACCTTCTTCTAATTTCCAGTGTGGATTTATTCAGGGCCAGTTTATAGCCATTTGCTTTTGTTGCTAATGTTGTCTTTAAGTTTAAATAGCTATTCTCCCTGTGTGGTGTTTATCTCCCGATGTATCAATAAAGACGAATCGTATCCCCTCTCAGTCTCTCTTTTGGTAGGCTAATGCAGCTTGTTCATTCCAAATATGGGTTCTTTCTTCTAATCCACTTTGAGGGGAAGCTTTCTGAGCCAAATCCCCCCTCCCAGGGAAACATACTCCATAGCCTTGGTGAGTTTGAAGTCTCCAAGTTGCTGAGTTTTATTCCACTTGAGGAGGAGTTTTGGGTTGTATGGAGAGGATAGGGGATGTGTCCAGGAACTCATGAGGAACCTGAAGATCTGGAGTTCAGTCTGGTTTCTTCACTTTGTATCTGAAGATTTCCCAGCTTTGCCCCTCCCAGCAGCCCTACACTATCCCCTAGACCCAGATTGCTTCTGCAGGGTGCTGTTCAAGGGGCTGGTGTACGTTTCTGCTGGTGAAGTGGAAGAGGGTAATATGCAATGTAGGTTCCCCTCCAATCCGTCAGCTTTTGGGACCTATAATCCTGCTCTCTTGCCATGCTGGGGAGATGAGAACGGAAACCTCTTTTGAGTTAAATTTTTAAAATAGTAATAAGGGGTCAGAAAACTGTAATTAAGTTCAAAACATAGGGTTTTGTTTGCCAGGTGCTGAAGCACACGAAGCAGTCTTTTGCTTGAGTTTAAGAGCAAAGAATTCACATCTCCAGGGTTGTTCCATAATCTACAAATTACTTTACAACGATCTGTGTGTCCAGAACACATGGCAGAACTGTGTTATGTTTAAAATAAATCACCTACCAAAACCTTCATTTAAACCATTCAAAGTTGTCCCTTTTCATTGCTCCTTTCTCAGTGGAAAATTAATCTTAGGAAGTGATACTGCTGCCCAATAAAACAGAAATTCCAAAAGCATGAAGGTTCTCATGCTGAACATTCAGGATTTTGACAGGAAGCAATAAAACGGAGGAAACTCACGGCTAGAAGTGAAATGTACCATACAGCCTGCACAAGTCTAGCACAGAGGGATACAGCCAGAGTCTGGACATTGAGGGTATGTCTACACTGCAGCTGAGATTGAGCCTTCCAGCCCAGGTAGACAGACCCGTGCTAGCTCTGCTGGAGCTAGTGAGCTAAAAATAGCAATGTGGACATTGCGTCATGCGTGGCGGCTCAGGCTAGCCACCCACGTCCAAGCCCACCCAACCCCCGGGTCAGAACTTGAGTAGCTACCTTGAGCTGCTGTCCATGCCACAACTTCCACACTAATAGTTTTAGTGCAGTAGCTTTGAGCAGACCTGGCCTGTGTTGTCTACCCAGGCTAAGAGGCAGGCTCCCAGCTGCAGTGGAGACATACCCTGGGGGACCTGGAGAGATGCAGTCAATGGGCCAACTCCTGGCAGTGTCAAATATTTGCAACTCCCACTGGAGCAGTACGTGGGCTGCCTAGATTTGCTAAATTTAAAGACACAGACACTTTTAAAGATGGATCAGGATGGGACTGGTATTCTAAGCATTTCCAGTCAATCACTCCCTAGCTAGTTACCTGATTTGGAAAATGGTTTCACTGTGTTATACATCTAGACCTTTATTTCCCTTTAACTTTTCTGCTGGTGTCAGCCATTACTTATTACCTGCATTTAGGTGATTGTCTTTTGTATATCTGCAGTAGATATAGTCTTACTAGGAATGCCCTACGTGTATTTCCATTGCAAGGTGGAAAGCTGTAGCAAACTCTTTTGCTGCATTTAGGTTTTAGCCTCGACAGTTCCTAAAGCCAAATAACCGACTTAGTGAATCCCAGAGACCTCCACAGGGAGGAATAAGTTATCACAAACTGTACTGCATGACTGAATTTTCTCCAGAAAAAAAGAGGAATTATTCAGGAAATAGATTATTCTCAATAAAGCTGTCTAAAAGCTGAGTTGTCTGTCCAACAATGAAATTAATCAAAAACAGTCCAAATGAGTAAAAAATACCAATTTATCAGAATCCAGATGTCTCTGGAGTCCCTCACATTTCCCATTAAAAATTCAGTTAATTCTTTCTTGATCTGAAGTTGCTCCTCACAGAACCATATAGATCTATGTTTAAGCTAAAGCATTAAAACACAAATAGAATTCTAGAATTCAGAGCATGAATCACTCTGAAAGATCTGTTTTGGGGGCTTCATGAATTTACCCGTGCAGATGCCTTATCCTTTCACAGTTGGGATGTTGGTTTTTGCATTGTCTTTAGCACTTATGCAAGAGACACGAGAGAAATATTGCAGTGCAATATTTCAGTGCAAGTGCAGTTCATTCTCATCTGGCTATAAAATTTAATATAGATCATAAAACCAAAGGGAGGAGGAGAAGCCAAACCTGTGGAGCATCTAAAGAGCACTGAAGCTTTCTCACTAGAATTAAATCCCTTTTGGAGCAATTTACCTAACAAGCTTTTTAATCCAGTTATAAATAACACCACAGTCTGAGACAAAGAACTGCAAAGGGGTCTGCTCAGTTTACAAGGCATTTGTGTTATAGACTTACAGAAAGCAGCAGTGAATGTGCTCTCTCTAATCCAAGGGGGAGGTGAAATTCTGAAAGTAGCTGGGCAAACTTATCTCAAATATTTATCTTGTTTTCCAGTAATAATAGAGCTTTGTGCTCCTACTCTCCTCACCTCAGCCTTGTTCTCCTAAAGTGCTCAGTAGCTCTGCAAATCAGGACACGTTTAATTCAGGTGCCTAAATATGGAGCTAGATGCCTAACCTCAACCACCCAAGTTAGAACATACAGTCGGTGTCTTTATAGAAGCACACAGGAGGCAGTTCAAAAATGAGTCTGTTTTGATGAATGTGGAGATGGAAATATATGGGGACTAGAACTGCCTACTGCAGGGTTTCTTGCACCTTCCTCTGAAGCAGCTGGACTGGTCTCCATCAGAGACAGGATACTGGGCTAGATAGACCACAGGGCTGATCCAGTCTGCCAATGTCTGTACTTCCATGGGCGTTACGAGTATAACTACCTTAAACTCAGAGTACAGAGAGTTCTGCTCAGAATGAATTTTCAGATGTGTGTACCTTGCTAATCTTTATTGGATTGTGCTGGTTTGTGATTGGTGCAGTGATCAGTGAAAGTTACTAGTACATACCTCTGTAAATTGTCATCGGCAATCTCTTCATATGGAAGTTGGCAGTGATACCACAAGGTGGTGCTGTTCAGAGTTTTTCTTTTGTAAAGGAATGAAGCGATTGGGATGACAGAATGACTCATCAGCTCTACTCTTTTCTTTGTTGTTCTCCCTCCTTTTCCTTCTCCCTTCTTTGTTTGCCTTACTCTTCCCCTGGCCTGCTTGGCATTTCTCCCTTTCTACCCGTGTAGGAACACCACCTCCCCGAATGACTTTAGCTACAAATAATCGAAGAATTCTTCTGTTGACATAGCTGCGTCTACACTGGGGGTTTTGTTGGCATAGCGATGTCGCCGGAGGGTGTTTTTTCACACCCCTGATCAACATAGCTATTCTGGTATAAATTTTAAATATAAACCAGGCCTACCATGGCAACACCCCAACTACTTATAATGTCTGTGGTTTGAATCAAACTTTTTGTAGAGCTTTGGTTAGACCCTGTTTCTTCCACAGCTTCATTAGTCGGGCAACTGAGCACATATATTACTGGGCTTCACTCAGTGTTGCTTTTGGCTTTTCCTTTAAAAATAAAAAAAAAAAATCAATCAGAAAACGCTTTAATGCAATGTTATGATTAAGACTTTAATTGCACCAAGTCTGGAAATTCGAGGTCATGATTTTCATAACAACAACTTAGCTAAGTTGTACATAAAGGAGCCTCAGTCCAAGCTTCTAATTTTGCACCTGCGATTTTGTGCCTGCAGTGAATTGTGGGTGCAAATAATAGCATTTAGATGTCTGGCTACCTGATCTGGAGGCATAATCAAGCAGTTAGATGTCTAAATGCTATCAGCTGTTCCTGAAATGCATTGCGGACAAAGGAAATGTGGGTACAAAATTAGATGCCATATTAAAAATATTTGGCTGATACTGTATTTTAAAGCATATACAGTCATAATAAATCCATGCAAAGAAGCTGAGTTAGGGGATGTTGTGGAAATTATAATTGTGTGTTTCCTAACTTTAACGTTAGTAAAATCTCAGTCATAATGTTGCATGAATGTAGATCTTTCATTTGTATATTGGTTTCTACATTGGTTTTATAGGTAAGACTACAAGGAGTAGGCCCTTAAGAGAATACTTTTAGCCTTATTTCAGTAATCATGATAACAAAAGCTAAATGTTAAAAACTAACTGTTTGTTTAGATAAGGAAATGCTCACAAGATTTTTTAATTCCCACAGCAAAAGAATTGATAGCTTTTAATGACATGCTTCTTTCAGTTCTTCTTTTCGATATCTCTAGGGGCTGCTGGTTGTTCTGCATCCATTATGGCATCAAAACAAATGTTACTGCAAGGAAATCTGTCCCAAGCCTTGAAAAACAAAGTTAAAGAACAAAATATGAAGAAGCCTGAGGCTAAATTTGTCTAGGTGGGGTGATGTTTACCGTTGCTGAGATGCGGGAACCCAAAGCGACTTTGCATAGTCTTTATTAATGAATGTCTGTAATATTTTCAGTGTACCTCGCTGCAAAAAATTTAGGGACAACTGGTTTACTAATAACCCAGGCCTAAATGATGTATTGCATTACATGACAGGACAGCAGGTCACAGTGTGGATATAAGAGACTCTAGAGACCTCTTGTGGACAACACAGATTTCTTTCTTCTTACACTATATGTCTGTGTATTAATGAAATGCTGCATCTCATTTATAAGATCCTGTCTGATTTTTTTTTTTACCTGTGTTCCATATGAATTTGTGGGTCTCTGCTTTCCCATGCTTTATTTTTCCCTTTCATGGCATATCGTTCATCTTCTGAATTGTCATTGGCTGTGATAATTATTTTAATTTCTGGGCAAGTTATGACTGTTTTATTTCCCTTTTAACAAAAGATGGCATTTAAAGCAGAACTCCTTGGGTGCAGCTTTTTGTTCTGTCTTTATATGGCCCCTTGCACAATGGGGTCATGGTCCATGACTAGGCCTCCAAGGCACTGGAATGATACACGTAATTAATAAGAATCTCTCTCTCTCTGGTGTTCCAGGCGCTGTAATTGCAAGGGAGCATGGGCTGCCCTGTATTATGAAATGTAAGGGTACAACCTCCTATTTTAAATCAGGTTGGTTTCCATATTCCTTCATTTATACTTTTTCTTGTTAGACAGTGACAAGAAATTTATACTTTTTCTTGTTAGACAATAACAAGTAATTTACTGCCTCTGAAGAAGTGGTGTTTCCCATTGTCGCGGGGTAGGTCCATCCCATCAGGCGGTGTCGGGTTGTGGGGGAATTAAAATAGAGCTAGGGTGGCCAATGTGGCCTAATTTCCCTAGTTGCCATAGCAGCCCTGGCTCCTAAGGCAGCGTGGCAAAATGATCAGGGTCAGTGCAGCAGCCCTTCAGTGATGGACAGCACGGACAGATGGCCCGAGTCAGTAGGACACCCATCTAAGTAGGGCGGTGTGGCCTAGCAGTCAGAGTCAATAGAGCGACCCTCTGTGGCAGGGCAGTGTGGCCCGGTGGCCGGAGTCAATAGAACCACCCTTTGAGACAGGGCAGTGTGACTTAGTGGCCAGAGGGTGGTGGGCTGCCATCCAGGGGTGGGCAGTGGCTGGGGTAGGAGGATCCGGGCCCTCCCTACTCCACCAGGTCTCAGCCCAGGGTCTTATCTGTGGTGGGGTTATCCGCCACTGACTCAGTGGGGAGTTGCTACAAGTACACTCAGTGCATGTATGCCCGTGACAATGGACCAGCTGAGTGAATGGCGGGACTTTCCATTCTCCCCTCGGCCAAAAAAAGACACTCCCTCTCTAAGACTCCATTTTATACATCAATACAGACAAGTTACGTACTGCCCCTCTGATGTAGTTAGTTGACACCCTCTGACGCAGCTGGTTACCACCCATCACCTTATACATCTCTATTCATCACACTGTCATCCTGACCTTATCTTTAGGACGGGTCAGCGTGTTCCTGTTCTCTTTAGGGAATGCGCTGGTATCGAGGTGTTCTATCACCCCACTTCTGGAATGTGTTTGTGTGAGTGCTCTGTGCCTAGCACCTCTTAGGAATGTGTGGTTTTGCAATATCAGCCCTGTTCTTGCCAGATTCTGTGAGCAGGGCCTGCCTCTAGCTCCCAGCCTGATTTTTCTTTATATCAGCAAAGTTTTGACCGCCACTTTAGCCGAGGCCTCAGGCCGCTGATACAAGGGTTTATATTTTAGGCCCTCTTCCTACCCGTCCTCCCACAGCTAGTAGTCTTGGGGATTCCGCACTCTCGCCTTTGTCTGTGGTGTCAGGCATCTGGGGGTTGGCTGGCCTACATCCTGGAGCACTGGCAGTCTCTTTGCAGGAGCCTGCAACACACTTCCGTTCCCTTTGCAGTCAGCCCAGACTGAGATGAGCTGCTCCCTTTTATATCCTGGTTCTAGCTGAAGCATGCTCAGCAGGGAGGGGGGGACATGACCTCCTTGGCCCACAGAGAGTGCTTAAGCCTTGCTGAATCAGTGCAGGGTAGGTACACTCTGTCACACCCATGTTACACTAACTCTGTTCCTCTTCACAACAGTGGAACAGAGCTACAAAGAAATGGTGTTTTTTTCCCTCCCATAGAAAATTTGATGAAAATATAAACAATGCTTTTTGTTTTGTTGACATTTTTCTATAATTTTTTTGGATTTACTTCAAAGAAACAAAAATCTGGAAATTATTATTTTTATTTATTTATTTACATATTAATTTGGAAACTGGGAATTGAAAAAAATCAGCCAACCCAGGCAAAACTTGTAGGGTTTACTGAAAATTTTCATTTGACCAGCTGAAAGTTTTCATTTGCTAAGAACCAAAATACTTTCAACAAAGGTTTAGTTACTGAGTATTTGTGGTGACTTTCGATGAAGAACCCTAAAAATATCATTGAAAAGGAACCTCTGAAATATTTTTCACAAAAAAAACACAAATTTCTAAGAATTTCCACCAACTCTACCATTCAATAAAAGCCATGGTCTCAAGAAGGTTAGCTTGAGTATGTGGAGTGAATGCTTCCTAGATATCTTTGTATAGTCTATGGCTAGATTCATGGCCACTCTGTTTTTGGTGCAAAATTATTGTTAACCTTGATTGTTAGCCTAGATCTGGGGAAACAGGAAGTGGACATATAACTAACTTCCTCACACTAACCCAGCCCTGTGCACTGCTTGGCCAGACTGGAGAATCTGGACCTATATCACTAAATATTGTTTGCATATCATCTTTGTAGATGTATGCTGACAGACAGATCTGCATATGCATATATACAGACACCATTTTTACCAAGGTAGGTGTAGCTGATATGTGAATTTCAAGATTTACTACACCGCATCTATATAGGTTCAACAAAAGAAAATAAATATATCTTTTAAAGTGCATTCTTTCCTTTGGGCAGGCAGGCTTGTCCATCTGATCCTACTTGCACTGGTTATTTCTGCAGGATAAGTTATACCTTTATATGGGAGGGAAAGGAGCAACTTGCTGCTCGGGACAGTTTCCTCCTGTTTTCCCATGTGTGTCTCCCCATTTGGTCACCCTCCCTTGGCCTGTCTTCCATGGGTCATAGTTAATATTGACATTTCCATCTGGGAGAATGGTGAGAAGGAAATTAAGTGAAGGAGAAAAAGTCTTTTCCCCCTAGCTTTGCAGTAAAATCCTATTTTGTGTGCTACAGAGAAAGCCCATTGCTTTATTCCAAGCAGGTATAACTGAGGTTGATGTGCTGTTCCCAGTCCTCACCCCAGGGCATTCTCCTGGAGACTGAAAGCAGAACATGGTCCTTTGTATTTAATCAAAGTTGGCTGGCTTTTTTAAAAATAGTGGGTTAATTCTAGGTCTTGTCAAAACTTTTCTGTCAACCCAAAAACTTTGCAATTTTGAACCATAAATTTTCTGGTTTTGGCAACCAAAAACCTACAAAAGTCAGGGGTTGGTTTATTGATGAAAGTGATTTTGTGGTTTTAGTCAAAATTTTCTGGAGAGAATCCTGCCCCATCTCCCCACATTTTCAGACCAACTCTGATCAACTCAAGGCTTTGTTTTATGGGAGACAAAGTGATACTGGATGGATTCAAAGGAATGGTGCAGAAAATCAAGGCGTAAGACTGGTCACAGAAAGAAAAAGCCTACCCATAGAAAATACTAGTGGCAATTTGCAACGGTGTCTGGTCTTTTGGGAAAATGGTATCATTTGCGCAGTAAATTTATTGATCACTTATGAATGTTAGTGGACAAGTTACAATTCTTCCTGTTGAGCTAAAGATTAGGTTATCCAACTAGGGAACATAAAAATATATAGTGACCATTCACATGGCAGGAATACCAAATAAAAAACAATGGATTCTCCTAGTGATCATTTTGTGAACAATGGATAATATTTTTTCTCCCAAACTATTCACTAAAGATTTATGAACGAAGAACACATTAGCAAAAACAATGCCCACTTCACAAGTAATTTGAGTAAATTGTTAGCTTAAAATAGTTCACCCATTGAGAGCTAAAGCAAAGAACAATGAGTGAAACTGAAATACTTTCCCACATAGCCTATGGAACTCAATGCCACAAGATGTCATTGTGGCCAAGACGTCAGCAGGATTCAGAAAAGGATTGGACATTTATAAACATAACAAGACTATCTAGAGTCACAATAGTAAGGATTTTAAAAATAACTAACAGCCTTGGAAGGGATAGAAACACTTCTGGCTTCAGGGTAGAGTCCAGACTCTAACTACTGGAGTTGGGGAGGGAACTTTCCCTGGGGAAGCTATTCCATAATCACCTGCTGCAGAGTTCTTTGTTCCTTCCTCTGAAGCAGCTGGTGTTCTGGATTAGGTGCACCCTGGTCTGATCTAGTCTGGACTTTCCTTCTAGGCGTTTGTATGCAAGTTTTATTAAGTCAGTGGAAGCCTGTCACTCCCATTCAAGAGCAGAACTTTGCCTAGCATGAATGTAGCTATTCAATCCCCATATATCCTGCCATATTTTTCCTAGGAAGGACTTGTGAGCACTTTAAATATTTGTCTTCGAAACTGGATGTCTTTCTGGGAGATATGCCTTTGTCAAACAAAACATGCACTCAATTTAGGAGTAATGAGATGATTTTCTCTGGCCATTATTATACCAGAGATCAGAATAGATGATCTAACGGTCCCATCTGGCCTTAATCTATAAATCTATATGATTTGATCCAGTTTGTGAATTAAGAATAAAAATAAATTTATATGTACCATGTAACACAACGTATCCCAGGGCACGATATGTCCTTGTGTGGGGACTTCTCCACCACCACTGAGTCAGCATTAACCAACCTGAACAAGCTATTATATAATTACCAGATTTTACAGCCGTCAAAGTTCTGTCCTTTGTACAGCAGCATCCAGGAGACTAAGATTAGGGAAACCTGAGTCCATTGAAACAGTTATTTTTTGTTCTGTGCTGAATATTATGTGAAGGTTAGAGAAACCTGCTTTTTCTCTCTCTCTCTCTCTCTCTCCTCAGATGGTTGCTCTGTCAACTTGTCCATCAGGGTACTTTTAACATTGTGCTGTTGGGTTTTTAAAAAATTCTTTAGCCTGTACGGTCTGTGAACTGTTGAGGAACCCCACAATAAAGTCGGAGGATGCTGGGTATTTTTAAGACAGCTCAGACACAGTCCCTAGCGATATATTTTTTCCCCCAGTACAGTCTTGGATTCTGGCCATAGTCAAAGCCAAATATGGACCTGGAATCTGAAGTCCTGTCCTACTTTTGCTCTGTCTTTTTTTCCAAAGCTTTCTCATTTCACTTTGACAAATCACCAAGAAATATGACTCTGAATATTATTTTTAGTGGTACAGCTTATCGGCCAATTAGGATTTTAATTTAAAAATACAAGAGCCTATCTCTCCATTCACAGTTATTCTGTCCGATAAAAAACAATTGTTTGGTTACAGACTACACGAATCTATGTTATCAGGACTCATGAACTATCTTATTTGCTTTGTGATATGAATGTTTAAACATATTTTTAAATTTTTGGGGGTCTCTTACTTTTATGTGCCATGAAAACCTTCATGATCTCAGCAGGCTATTTTCCTGTTGTTAAGC